ACTATTAAACTCCATTAAATTTTTACGTAATATATGTGTATTTTAGATTTTCTTTTTGTTGTATTCTTTAATTATAACTATTTTCAATTATAATATTTTATCTGCAAAATAGATAATTTGATTTAACTTCGTGTAATGAAAAACATGCACGATTTACATACCAAAATTAATGCAAAAGGGAAAATCAAGATTTCAACTTTAAGTAAAAAAATTGAAAAAACTATTTCAAAATGAATATCAATTTCATTTTCCTTTTTTATTTTTTATTTTTTTTAATGGAAGTTTGTTATTGATTGAACATGCCCTTAATCAATGTTTCTAAATTCTAAAGGAAGACAATAACAATTTAAGACAAATGTTAACTAAATTTATTAGGGTGTACTTTTTTTTTTTTTAATCAAGGATGAGGGGTTGACCTAGAAAGTTAATATAAGCCTAAGAGGGCGTGGCTCCACCCTAATAGATGGGGATTCTTTGTGCAAACTTTGCGCCGCATTGGTCTTTTCATATCTATATATCCGCACGGGCATCCACCAAGATCCTGAGCCCCGTGTCATGTGAAAGGGAGCGAGTAGCCACAAAATAAGCCGCTCAGTTTTGCTACGATAACTAACCAATTTAGTTCGTTATTTGTAAAAATTAAAATATTTTTCGATTTATTAATTTTCAAAAGATAATAAAGTTTTTTTTTTTTTTTTGGAAGGAAAAGATAATAAAGTGTTAAATAGTGTCCTATATTTAAAGAGGAATCTATAGCGACACTAGGAGGGGGGGGGGGGGGGGGGTATATTACTATTCTTTTTCTTTTTCATTGTTGAATACAGTATAATTGATGCATGCACATTTTTATTCATATCCATCCTCAATTATTATTACAGAATAATAATAATAATAATAATAATATAATAATAATAATAATAATAATAATAATAATAATAATAATAATAATAATAGTAACTGTGTGACAAATTTGATCAATATGATTATACTGAAAAATGTAATATTTTTAAATCAATATATATATATATATATATATATATATATATATATATATATATATATATATATATATATATATTCTCAAATTGATCTTTCCCTTTAGACCACAATCATTACCTGTGAGTGTCTACCGAGTACACTCCCCATTGTAACCATAGCTAACAAATGACCACAAAGAGATAAATTAATCTAGGTTGTCCATAGTTGAACGAATCAAACCAAGGAGCCTATGTTGTCCCCATTGAGGTTAGAGTCGAATTTGGATTCTTGTGGTTACCCAACTAACTTGACTTAAGTTAAATAGATAATTCTTTTTTGGATGCACGAGATGCTAAGGATCGATGCCCTGACAATAAACTACACGAGATTAACATTGTGGCCCTGTTTGGTAAAAAATTGGTTTATAGGTCAATTTTGACTTATTTGACCACTGTTAATTGTTTGATTTAGTTAAAATATCAATACAAATGTTTGGTTAATTAGTTTTTTGCAACTTCAAATGACTAAAATTCAAAAAGTTACTCCAAACAATTTTTTCACTTAGCTTTTTGATAAAAGAAATTATACCAAACAACTATTAGCTAACAACTAATTTACTAAACACTTTTCTACAATCAGTTAATGTTATCCACTATTTATACACTCTAATTAATACAATCAGCTAACAGCTAACAACTAACAACTATCAGCTAATAGTCATTTTACCACACAGGACAATCTTTTTAAGACACAAAACGCCTAGATTGATAGTTTTTTAATCTCAAGACCGCTTCTTCTTCAATCGACTCGACTAATAATGCCTTAGTAGTCAGATCATGTACAACGGAATAAAGATTAATTGGCTTTAATTTAGTGCTCACCAACTCGATCCCTTTAGTCCTAATTAGTTACCCGAAGACATTCTTAAAAGAATATCATTATCATTATTAAAGTTTGCAGAAGGTTTCCCATTCCAAAACTGGGAAAATGGCATTCACTAAGCGATCTTTGCCTTTTCCTTAATATGGACAAACACACAATAATGCTCTTCCCACGTTGCTTGGAGTGTTTCAAGATCCGACAGATCGAGGAGCTAGATTAAGGATCGCCAGATAGGTTTGGAACAAAGATTCCGTTGATATCAGATCGTCCGATGAAGAAGGAAAAAGGGATTCCAGACACTATATATCGATGGATTTAACTCTTGATGATGATGTAATATGTGAATTTATTTGAGCTGCTAGCTAGCTGGAAGCCTGGAATGGAAGCTCTTTGATATGATCTGATCACACATGGCTGCTGCATTTATGCAAAGGTGTTGGAATATATATGAGCATCCACAGATTGAACACTATATATATATGATTCTGAGATCATGAAATGACTCCATAATCTTGCATTATTCATGTTGGGTTTAATCCCAGATTGAGGTTCTGATGACTCTTGAAGATGATGTATAGGTGCACATGCATTTGTCTTCCTCGGATTTGAAGGTGTCTAGTTGATGTATAATTTAGTGTGTGTTGTTTATTGTCTAAAAACCTTGTACGACAACGTAACCTTCAAATCATATAAGATTTGCAAATAAGATCGAATTGCACACGATTTATATGCGTTGCTAGTCAATTTACACACGAATTCACCTTTTGATTGTAAATTGTAATGCATACTTTGAATTCAAGAAATGAAAATTAAAGGGGACAAACAAGTGGAGTTGTCATCAGAGATTGGTTCAAATTTGATCAAATTTAAACTTAAACTAACTTGTTAAATAATTGAGTCGAGTTTCAACTTATAATTTTTTGGATTGTAGCTTGTAAGCTAGATATATATAGTTCATATTATTAAGCACTACTATTTGACCTAATCAAATTAAAATCCAGCCTTATAAATAAATAAATGTATACTTATATATAGGAGAAAATTAAAAAAAGTTAATGGGCAAAAAACAAAGAGAGTTGACAAAAAAAAAAGAAAAAAAAGAAAAAAAAAAAGGAAGATTCTAAATTAAAGTTGGACAAAAATGTTTTAAAAAAAATTGAACGAAAAAAAGCAAAACTCGTTTGGCAAACCAGTTTCTTGTTAGAAAAAATAATTCTGAAAATAAATTTTTTCTCATAGTCAACAAGACACGCAAGTTCTCGTATACTGTAAATAAATAAATAAATAAAAGAAAAAAAAAAAAAAAAAAAAAGAGGTCCAAGCAACCATTGCTGCCCATGCATTGATGCCTTATTCTTTGGTTCCTTCTTCGTCTTCCAAATATGGAGATGAAGAAGGGTCCTCTTTCCCTTCTTAATCTGGAGACAAAGAAAAAGAGAAGAAAAAGGTAGCCATAGTTGTCTTCAACCTCTATTTTTTTTTTGTTTTTTTTTTTTTAGTTTTCCCTTCTTTGTCTCTAGATTTGGAGACGAAGGAGAGAAGAAGTAGCAGCCATGACTGCCTTCAACCTCTTCCTTTTTTTTTTTCCTTTCCTTTCTTTGTCTCCCGATCTGGAAACGAAGAAGGGAAAGATGACCCTTCTTCATCTCCAGATTTGGAGACGAAGAAGGAACGAAGCGACCATGACTGCATTTAACCCTTTTTTTTCCCGGTATAAGAGATTAAGAGACACACAAATAGGACTTGCATGTCTCATATTATTTGCAAGTCCTACTTGCGTGTCTCGTTTACTACGGAAAAAAATAGTTTTAAAAATTATTATTTTTAACAAGAAACTCGTTTGTCAAATGAGTTTTGCCTATTTTATTCAGATTGTAGACTACTTTTTTTTTTTTTGTCGACTCTCTTTGTTTATTTTTTGGGTCCATTTTTATCCTTTTCACTATATATATATATACTTCAAACTTGAACTCAATTATAGTAAATCAAAATGAGTTTGAGCCTTATAAAATTTAGCGAGTTGATATTAAGTCTAAAATTTTAAGCTCGAGCAATTATAATTATTTGTAGCTTGAACTTGAATTTGATCATACCTAATAATGTTAATTATCATTTAATGTGATATTCTGTATGATTTAGGTATATGAAGAACCAAAATGTATAATGTGAGTTAAAAAAATTGTATTATTTTGATATATAATTTATTAGTACATGAGTTTTGTTGAGGTTCTTAGGTCAGACAACTCTCAATATGTCGGGAACGACATTAAGTATTAAGGAAGTATTATAGAAAAGTTCCTTCCTTTGAAAAGTTCACTTAATTTTATAGCGTTGGGTAAGGGAGCATATGCCAAGATTTTCAAGTACAATGGTATATGATGCTTAGTTATGTTGGTTGTGTCATGTATTCGTATTGAGGTGGCTTGGGATGATGTGACAGTTGAAATGACACTTCACGAGTCATTTGTCTTTTTATGTGGGGTTGACTTCCTGATTTGATAAGTCATGAAGCGCACTCCTAAAGTCAAACATGATAAAAAATTGCAATGCATACTTTGTATATCCTTATTACTCCGTACTATCTAAATTCGAACTCGACTTACTTCATTACCACTCATAATGCTGAATGTATAAAACCTTATATTATAATTAAATGACAATAAAAAATGAAGATTCAATCATAGGCTTTGATGCATGCACACGGTTGAAAGTGAAGAATGGGCACTTATGAAATGCTTAGAATGGGCTTGGGGAAAGGGCTACAGAGATGTTGAAATCCAGTCGGGCTCTAGAGAGATTGTGGATGGTATTTCGAATGAGAGATTGGAACATCTCCATTTGGTATGTTTACATCGAACATAATTAGGTTGTCGATCCTCCAAAAATTGAATTGAGTTTGACCAACCTTTACAGAAAGTTATGAAGATTATCAGGGAGGACATGTTGGGCGCGGCTGGAAAATAGAAGAATTTATACTAGCTAGCACCTAACCCCGGTTACCCCTCCTCATATAAAAAAAAAAAAAAAAAAAAAAAAACCCAAAAAAAAAAAAAAAAAAAAAAAACCAAAAAAGGAAAATAATAAAAACGGGCTCCTGAAGTATGCCTCCTTGAACTGGATCTGGTCCACTATTCGGGTCGGGGATCCGATACAAAAACCCTCGTCAAATTTGTGTGTTTTTTCCTTCTACCTCCCCGCTATCTTTCCCGTCGGCGCTTCCACTTCCGAGCAGCAGGGAAGAAGAGGAAAGCTTGCTCTGAGCTGAAATCTTAGCTCTCTCACATCTCTCTCTACAATGAACTGCTCAAGTATACACCTATGCTTTTTCACTTCTGCATATATGTGCTTTCCCCGTGTTCTCAACAGTTATGCACACACATTCACACTTAATTTCTCTGTCTCTGATCTATTGACGAACCGTTCTTTCAGTTTCTGGCGAGGTGCCGGAGGAGCCGGTTGTCTCCACGAAGTCCGGTTTGCTCTTCGAGAAGCGTTTAATTGAACGACACATCTCGGTGCGTTTGTTACTTCTTTCGATGTGTATTTTTCGTTCTAAGATGTAACAATTTGATTCATCATTTCTCACTTTCCGTTTCTATGTTTGTTTATGTTAGTAGAAAGTTTTAAATTGAAAATTTGGAGCCTTGAGCTTGTCTTTGTTGTTTGAAGAACTTAAGTTCTGAAAATTAAGTAATTTGGTGTTCATATGGTTTGAGCTTGGCTTGTACATTATGCTATTATGATAAAGGGAGTGATTATCTAGTAAGCTTAGCCCTAATGTGATACATATTTGCTATATAATGCATACTCTAACAAGGGCCATCTCAAATACAACCATACACATGCCAGATTGAACATGACTCGAATATTGTCCCCAGCACCAAACTAGAATTCCAAAAATTCTTTTTGTTTTAAAGATTATTTTTTAGAATCTATTTAAGTGAACTGTTATTTTTATATTGTAATTGTCCTATGTGTTTGCATCCTATGTGTACTTATATATATTCCTGTTTTAAGTTTGAATTTCTTTCTTTGTGTAGGATTATGGTAAATGTCCAGTTACTGGAGAGCCTCTGACAATGGATGATATTGTCCCAATCAAAACAGGAAAGGTTTGTGCCATAATTACTTGATGGTTAACATATTATTTTAGAATTTGTCATTGTTATTCAGTTTCAAAGAATCCTATTATCTTACAGTATATGTTTCTTTTAACATATGGCTTTAATTAGTCATTTCCTTGGTGCTGATTGTTGGAATTATTGCAGATCGTGAAACCCCGACCTGTACAGGCTGCAAGTATTCCTGGGATGTTGGGAATGTTTCAGATTGTATGTCTTCTGATCCTTAGTTGTTTCATTCATTTTCTGTACTCTCTGACTATTTACTAGAAGAAAAAAAAAGTGTTGGTTGATCTTGTTTTACTTTTTCAATATTTGTTTCATTGTTACTCTTTGCTGAAGCAGTTGTTCTTACACTATTTCCCTGACATTCTTTGTAAAAATTTTAGTGCATTCTTTCTTTCTTTAGACATTTTCATGCATTGGGCATGTGCTTGTGCTTCTAATTATATAATTTTTCCCGTTACAACCTTACCTTGCTTCTCACCATTTAACAATAATGGCCATTATGATATGATTCCTTCCACTTACTAGATCTGGAAATTTTTAAGAAGGTATAAATTGGCACAAAGAATATATTCAGTTTGCTAAATTCCATTTCCTGCTGCGTCAATCATGTCATAATATTTTTAATTGAAATTACAAATTGATTGTATGAAGGCCTTATTCTTTGCTTGTGAATTGCTATGTAATTATTTTAGTTGTCATGCTTCCAAACAGGAATGGGATAGTTTGATGCTATCAAATTTTGCACTGGAGCAACAATTACATACTGCAAGACAAGAGTTAAGCCATGCACTCTACCAGGTAAGCATAAGTGGTCCATTTACCTATTTGCTACTCAATACAAAACTTTTGCTGCTCAACTATTTTCTATTCTGCACATTCTGTTTTCATTTCTTCTGCCTATCCTATTCCTCTTAACTTATCACTTAGGTGTTTGGAAGAATGCTCTCTCTAATTCCCTCCTTACATGCTTTTCATGCGTGCTTAATCTATGTTATGCTCAATATTTGTGTGATTTCTGAAAATTGTGTCGTGTTTTGGCAGCATGATGCTGCTTGCCGTGTGATTGCAAGGTTGAAGAAGGAAAGGGATGAGGCAAGGGAATTGCTTGCCCAGGCTGACAGACAACTACCCAGTGCAGCAGCCATGGAAAGTGCCGATAATGCTACTACCTTAAGCAATGGGAAAAGAGGTTATTGCTTTTTGCACTTCTAGATTTGTCATTTGTTTTTATTTTTATTTCATTTATGCTGCCATACTTATTTTATCTGTTTAAATCCATAGCTGCTGAAGATGTGGAGATGGATCCCGGAGGCAAGAGAATTCGTCCTGGGATTTCATCAGCTATTATTACAGAGCTTACAGATTGTAATACCACCCTTTCACAGCAAAGGAAAAAGCGACAGGTAAGATCGTCTTCAAGCTTTGTCTAACATCTGAATTTTTGTTGGTTTTGTTTTGTTTTTAATTTTAATTTTTTTTTTTTTTGACATTACTGTCATTTACACTCCCAGGTTCCCCCGACATTGGCTCCTTTGGATACTCTGGAGAGATACACCCAGCTGAATAGTTACCCTCTTCACAAAACCAACAAACCAGGGATACTCTCTTTGGACATCTATTACCCTAAGGTAAATGCTGTCTTCATCCAGGGTGCAATAGTTCATACTTGAGGCATTTTAGTTAATAAATATTGAGATATAGTATAGTTGAATTACATTTCGGACTTCTGGATAAAGTGCTTCTGGTGCAAGCTTGTAAAACACAATTGGAACATTCTTGGCTGGTACCTTTCTCAGATTTGTAGAACTAAGTCAACAGAAGCATGTGCATTCCTTGTACTTTAGCAGATGCACACTACGCCTGAAGTCACTTCTTGCGGCTTCATGCGTGTTTCGTTCAATGTAAATTATAAATACAGATATTACAGTAGTGAAAATTTTCATTCTTTTTGTTGGCAGAGTGGAGGATTTGGATTGGTTCTTTTATGACATATTAAAGTCTTAATATGCCGGAAGTCACTATAAAATGAACAAGGGAATTTCTGAAAATTGCAAACAGCTTATTTAGTTTAGTTACTCCCTTAGTACATTTAGAGTGAATATGTGCTTGTGCCCCTAATATTCTTTCTCTAATAATCAATTTAATTACTTTTATGGCAAGATGCTGAGTATCATGTGACATCCCATTAGTATAAATTCTGCCTTTTCTTGTATTTTCTTGCCTTTGCCATAAAGGGATTTTCTACTATGGTTTTAGTTTTTTTTTTTTTGATAAGGAATTTTTTTTCATGGTACACCTGTTACTAAAACTTTGATTCTTATGTTTTCTGCTTTCAGGACATCATTGCAACTGGTGGAGTTGACACTAATGCTGTTGTCTTTGACCAACCTTCAGGACAGATTATATCTACACTAAGTGGTCACTCGAAGAGGGTCTGTTTAACCATTGCATTTTAATTCCTGATTTAGATTTGCCAAATTGTTTTCTTGTGTTTTCTAATCATCCTGTCTGCTGACAATCTCTTTTTTGTAGGTTACCAGTGTCAAATTTGCTGGTGAAAGTGAAGTGGTGGTTACTGGTTCTGCTGATAAGGTGATCCCTTCTGATCCTTCTTTGTAGTTTGGTTCTAGAGCTACAGTTCTATGAATTCCTTCTGTACTTGCTTTAGCTGATGCACTGTTTGTAGCATATTTCTGATTGCCAAACTGTGCCCTGAATCTTTCATAGAATTCTGTTTTCTCCTCCCCTAGTGGATTGTTTTTGTTTTAACTGAATATTTCATTCTTCCTTGCAGACTGTTCGTGTATGGCAAGGATCAGAAGATGGAAGCTATGCTTGTAGACATGTTTTGAAAGATCACACTGCAGAGGTTACTAATTTTCTATCCTATATTGAATAGATGATAGAATATCGGAGGGAAGCATAGTGGCTGTTCTGTTTAATTTATTCTAGTATAGTGTTTCCCCTAAAAAATAAAGAATGATGTTTGGCTGGAAGCTATGAGGAATGGAATAGATAGCTGATATATAGTTTGAATATTTTTTCCCCTCTTGAAGGATGTAGAGGGTAATCACACACTTGGTGAACATTGTAGACAAAAAAGTATAATTTTAATATAATGTAATTGGTAGATGTACAGTATTTTGAACATCTTGTCCCTTACATTCTTTTTGTATCAAGGTATCTCTTTTTTTTTCTTTAAACTTTTATCTTCAATAATGGCAGGTGCAAGCTGTCACTGTCCATGCAACCAATAACTATTTTGTGACTGCTTCTCTTGATAATACTTGGTGCTTTTATGAACTTGCTTCAGGTTTATGCCTTACTCAGGTTCATCACAGCTCTCTCTCTCTCTCTCTCTCTCTATATATATATATATATATATATATATATGTGTGTGTGTGTGTGCGCGCACGCCTTCCTTTATATGCTGTTACTCGATTGCTTCTGGAGTGATCAATTTTAAGACCTTTTGCAGATTGGAGATTCTTCAGAATCTGATGGCTATACATCTGCAGCCTTTCATCCTGATGGTCTGATTCTTGGAACTGGAACAACTGGGGCTATTGTGAAGATTTGGGATGTTAAGAGTCAGGTGTGCTTGCTAAATTTTCATAGAATATATTCCTTTACTTTCTCCTGATTTCCCACTTTCTTAAACAGTCCTTGGTTTAATTATTTGTTTGATCTGTAGGCAAATGTTGCACGATTTGATGGCCATGTTGGAGCTGTTACTGCCATCTCCTTTTCTGAAAATGGTTATTTCTTGGCAGTATGTATTCGTTTAAGTGAATATTTCTTTGACTAGCAATCATCTATGAAGTAGATTAAATATGATTAAACATGATAAAATTCTGCCAGACTGCAGCTCAAGATGGTGTCAAGCTCTGGGATTTACGGAAGTTGAGGAATTTCAGAAACTTCTCTCCTTATGATGAAAATACACCAACCCAAACAGGTATGATTTCATTTGCAAATTTTATGACATTCCGGCCTTGTGAAAACCAAGACTTAGCAATTAAAAATAGTATTTCTGAGTCTGTCGGGTGGGTGAGTTATAGAAAGAACTAGTCCAAAGTATTGTCTTGAGACTTGTCCCTGGCATATACTTGCTATTTAGTATTTACACAGTAAGTTCTAATGGCTTTCTATTACTAATATATTGAGATGGTTCACCAGATATTATTCTAAAGTACTGAGCAAACTTGAAGACTTGCGTAATTAGTGCACTTTCAAGTTTCAAGAGCCCCACCCTACTTAATCTTTTTCACAATTGACTGGGCATAATTGTATTTATTTCTTTTGTGGGGAGACTCGGGAGGAGAGGAAGTGGCACAGTGGCAAATGATCTACATTACTTCTATCATATTTTATAGTACTGTGTAGTATATGTGTGCATAACATTGATGCTGCTCCTGCATTTACAGTTGAATTTGACCACAGCGGAAGTTACCTTGCATTGGGAGGCTCAGATATAAGGTAGAGTTTGATTAAAACTTCCAGTTCTTTACACAACTATAAAAGTTATCCAAATTTTTTAACCCCTTGTGAATTTGTCGGATTGAAGCCCTTCTATTTACTCGTCCCTTTGCGTCTTTCTGTTGCCACACATGACTACATGAGAGCTAATATCGTCATTTGCTGCATTGGCAGGGTCCATCAAGTTGCTAGTGTAAAGTCAGACTGGAACAGCATCAAAACATTCCCCGACTTGTCAGGAACAGGTATTGTATCTCGATTTATTTTCTTATACATTCCATTCCCAACATTATAAGTTTTATGTAGAGGATGCTCAATACTAATTTCATATGCACAGGTAAAGCCACGTGTCTAAAATTCGGTCCAGACGCCAAATACATAGCTGTTGGATCGATGGATCGAAACCTCAGAATATTCGGCTTGCCCGGGGATGATGCTCAGCCAGAAGATTAATTTCACTCTCACAAATCACAATGCATGCTGTAGAGCCATAGAGTCTCATGAATCTGAAGAGTAATATAGTTTCCATTTTGGTGTCACGTAGTGCAATAGAATCTGACGGTTCTTAACCTGCCCTGTGATCATATGGTTGCCGTTCAGACTTGATTAACTTTCAATGAGAACAGTTTTGTTGTACCATTCCTGTATCCGTTGCTGCTTGAAAAGAAGATTTGTACTCTTCTAGTTATTCAATCACAATGCATCGTGTTAGGCAAACCTTTTACTATCGGGAATACCTTATTTTTTTTTGGAGGAAAGACATAATTGCATTAATAATCAACCAAGTGAGAGATACAGGCCGGTGGAACAGATAGCCACGACCCTAGGACAGATGAAGAATCAGTTGTCCGTGTTAACACATGAGTCACATAATTTGCTGACCTCTTGTGAACAGACACGTTCCCAATGTCAGCAGCAATAATACGACATTGCTTAACTAACAAACCAACATTGGAATTCCTTATTGTTTTTATACATTTAGAACATGTAGCTAGTGATATTAATGGTGTGGGGAATGTGCGTAGGGATGTCAAATGGGCTAACCCGTTGGATTTTGGACTAGCCCTACAGGGTTGGTGGACTTGTTGGCTTGGGCTAAAATGGTTTTTTATTTTTTCTTTTTGAGTTGGGTTGGCCCTAACCCTAAACAACGGATTGTTGGTTAATCCAACGGGCTAAATCACTAAACAATTTTTTTATTACAAATAGAGTAGGTTCATAACTATATATATATATATATATATATATATATATATATATATATATATATATATATATATATATAGAGTGTGTGTGTGTACAGTGTGTGTGTATATATATATAGTGCTTGTGTAGTGTGTGTGTGTGTGTATATATATATATATATATATATATATATATATATATATATATATATATATATATATAGTGTGTGTGTGTGTGTAGTATATATATTGTGTGTACAATGTGTGTGTGTATATATATATATATATAGTGTGTGTGTGGTATATATATTGTGTGTACAGTGTGTGTGTGTGTGTACAGTGTGTATATATATATAGTGTGTGTGTAGTATATATATTGTGTGTACAGTGTACAGTGTACAGTGTGTGTGTGTGTGTGTGTGTGTATGTGTATATATATATATATATATATATATATATATATATATATATATATATATATATATATATAGTGTGTGTGTGTGTGTACAGTCTGTGTGTAGTGTACATATAATGTGTGTAGTGTATAAAAGTACATTATTTCATATATACTATCAAATAATGTACCTTCAATATACAAATAATGTACAATTAATATATTAAAAATATATCTTATATTCATGGTCCACACAAGTTGTATAGACTATGGTCCATCAACAATCCATGAGTTGGCCCAACTCAATCCAATAACCCAATAGGGCCAACCCAATGAGCTTACTTTCTTATTAGATTGATCTTTTTGGATTTTAGCCCTGCAATTTTTAGGACTTAATGGGCCAACCCATTGGTTCAGGGCTAAATTGACATCCCTAAATGTGCGGGTCACATAGCATTTCATCCATATTATAAGGTGAATCACTAATATAGACTTCAAATGGTCTATTTAACCATCAAAACCTCTAAAAGTAGACTTAATAAACACAACCACAATGGCACAAATGGTCTATTTATCCGTTTAGCATATCTCCAACAACTGGTTATCAGTCCACAAGAATAAACCCTCTTTTAATATATTGTAAGCAAGAAAATGGCAAGTCAAGAGCATTTTCAACTTCAAAGGAACTACATGCCACTCTATTCAAAACCATTTCCCTATTCACACTTCCATCACCTTTGCTAAAACCTCTAGCCACAACAAGAGATGTATTACACACCCACGGCACAGAAACTACATACGCTACACCGTTGCGAGAATTCCCATTCCCCAGCAACGCTTCCTTGTACGCCCCGCACACTTGTTTCACGTACCTCCCCATGGGCAAAAAGTGCTCGCCAGCCGGATTGAACTCGGCAGCGCGATAGTCCACGTCCGAGTGAAGGTTCACGACGACTGTCCCGTGTTCGGGGTGAAGACGATCGCCTAGAGCTTTGAGAAACGGGAAGTGTGGGTCCCACAGCTTGTAGGGGAACACGTCATCACCGTCGTAGGCATCGATGAAAACAATGTCGTAGAGTCCAGTGGTGTCGTTAATAAACTTCTCGGCATCCGATTCGTATAACAGAATTCTCTCGCGAGTCCCTTTCCACAGCACTTCTTCGATAGGATCAAATGTTGACGTGTGGTTACCAGGTGGAGTCACGACTGAGGAAGATGGGAATCCCATAGCTTTTACTGAAGCCGAGATGACAGTAGGGTCGATTTCGACATCATGCACCACAGCACCTATAAAACAGATTGTTATACACAATAATGTCAAATTTAGGCATAATGTCAGATCGTAATATTCAGTGTTATAATGTCATATTTTGGAACAAAGACGAAAAATTCCATAGGAAAACCAAGAAAATGGAAGTTGTAAGAAGCCAAGTCATACCAGGTTCAACATCAAAAGATGTCAAACTTGTTTACTTTCTAACTGTTAAGAGTCACACATTGATAAAATAAGAGAGAACATATGGGTTTATAAGACCATGGGTTAGACTAGCTAATTGGTTGGATTCAATCTTTTAGTGTGGTTTGGCCCATGTGTATTATAGCTCAATTAGTGACCCTAGCCCAATCTTAATTTATAACACTAACTAACAATATAATCTCTCTTAACACCAGCATTTTCGGGATTCCCTCAAACCTTTCTATAGAATACACCGAAGATCACATATACGAAAGCAGATTAACACAAGGTCATTACACATTACGTACAAAATGGTAGTAAGATAAAGAACCAAGATTGAGTTAGCTAGCTACCTTGAATTTTACTTGCCAAAAATAACGGTATGCTTCCTCCACCATGACCTATACATAAGATATTCATTGTCTTTGCCCCGTGTATAGCTTTATGGAGATCATAGTTACAAGAAGAGATCGTAGCCAGCCCAGCAGAAATCATGCTCTTAACATCTGCAAACATCATGAAAAAAATTAAGCCGCAAAGCCTCATTCCCGTCAAGAATGCAAAAGACAGATCAAGCAATTTTATGCATTATTCTCATCTCTTCATATACTCAGGATTGAAAATGATCGATAGCAAAAAGACAATGATGCATCAAGTACTGGGGATGATATGCATTTTACCCTTTAGAATATTTCATTTCTCAATAGTCAATACACTGTCTTACATGGAATAGGCAGGCAATGTGCCTGCTGCATCAAGAACAAAGAACCAGGATCCGACTTTCTGTAAGCAGCCATTACTTTAACTGTGCTCTGGCGAGTATCATCATTAAAGCGAAGAGCACGCCACTGGTAACCAAGAATCTTGAAATTTCCCTCGTGTTTATAACCTGGATGTATCTCACCATACCTTTGCTGAAGCCATTTCTCTGTTCTTTCCCAGTAAACTTTTTCCTGGAATAAATTTTAATGTATCAGTGTTGCCCACATATAATGCATCCAAAGAAAAAGCAAATGCCAATCAAGTTTGTCAGATAGTTCATAGTTGGCTTTGTAACTACAAGGTTCCAAGTTCAACTCCTAATATCTTTCTTGATTTGAGCCGATCAGCAATGGACAACCTAAGTTGGTTTATACCTTGTAGTCTTTTGTCGACCACATGGTTAGTGGTTGCGGGTTTCCTCGTCACAAAGAAAAAGAAACAAATAAATGAGTTCTGAGGAAATTTACATCTAATTGACTGCTACCCTTCAAGAACAAACAAGAAACCAACAATAAAAAATCAAACTTTTACCACCACAAACTTAAATTAGCTCAATGTCAAGAACAAAGAAGAAACCAACAATTAAAAAAATCAAACTTTTACCACCAGAAACTTAAATTAGCTCAATGTCAAGAACAAAGAAGAAACCAACAATAAAAAAAATCAAACTTTTACCACCAGAAACTTAAATTAGCTCAATGTCAAGAACAAACAAGAAACCAACAATAAAAAAATCAAATTTTTACCACTAGAAACTTAAATTAGCTCAATGTCACAGGCAGTTAGCTCTCAGATACAAGTTTCTCAGTAACACCAACTAGGAAACATCAATCCATTATCAGGAAGCCATAAATATACCGGTCTGGAGGAAGGGTAAGCTATAACGGAGACTTGGCCGTTTCCCTTGTCGGAAAATGATTGGTAAACAGTTTGACCGTCGGTGCCCTTGCCGTCCCACCACTCCGACGAGTATAGCCAGTCGCCTTCATCTTCTGCGCGGTTTCTCACCGACGTCGACAAGTGCCGGAGATTCAAGACTACCCTCCGCCTAGCTCTGCTCAACATCACCTAGTATCCCACCAAAACCCTCCAAAAGTCTAGTTCTTTTTATTCATTGCGTATAGGCCCCGGGAGATTTCAAGACTACAACTTTTAACCTATCACTTTCTTAAATTACAATAAAACTCGCAATCATTATTGATGTATAATGACTACTAGTATGTATTAAAATCTTAACTGACAAAAAATTATAAAAAAGAGTAAATTAGCTTAGTCTGTCTATAGCAAACTGTTTCAAATCAAGAAGATCAATAAGTCATCTAATTGTAAGGTAAATCAACCTAATATGCTTATAGCTGATCGACTCAAACAAAGAAAATTAATAAACTATTTCTACTAGCCCTATTCGAGAGTATGCACGAATAAATTATGCATTGTAATTCTAGACGATAAATAATTACAAAGAGATAAATCAACCTAAACTATTCATAATTGATTGATTCAAACTAAGAAGACCGATAGATCACTATAATTAAAAATTAAACTTTACAAAGTCAACAACGTGAACAACTTAGTTTAGTTTTCCCACCTATCATTCGTTTTGTAATTGTATTTAGAAATAGAACTTGAGAGTCTACATAAAAATTTCCTAAACCAAATAGGCCTAACGGTCGTTAAAAACCTCTGTACCCGTTACCGTTGGTGAAACCAGAATCTGGGAACTTGTCGGGTGAGTGGGACCCATGGTTAACCATCTATTCCCATTTGACCTCAATCGGCTCCACTCCACCGCCCACACGCGACTATTATTCAAATCTTATTCAAACCGCAAGTCAGAAAGCAGACGTTTCGATTCCAAGAATCCTTCTTTTCCTTCAATTTCACATAATCACATTTCACAAAGGCCATCAAAGACTCGTGCTTTTTATGCCTTTATGTCATAATCGCACTTAACAACTTTTCCCCGGAGACCTCTTCAGCTCATAGTTCCTCAAATCTCTGAAATTGGGTTTCAATTTCTTGCACACAGCTAGCTAATCATCGCGAGTTTGAAGCGCCTGCAAGGAAAAAATTCAAGTTGGTTGACTTTCTCTCATGATCTTGGGTTGTTTGAGCTTTTCAGTCTTGGTTTAGTTGATTTGACATGGGATTTTCTTTTCTGTTTTTCTTCAAGTGTATCCGAAGGTAAAGGTGAGGGATCAGCAGGAAGAGGATGATCAGTATGTTTATGGATTGGGTTCTTTGCAATCCTTAAAAGCTTTTGATGCCATCTCCATCTCTGACTTGTCTTCTCCAGGTGCACTTTTGATCTTCATACCAAAGTTATTTCCTCATAAATCTAGTTTATGTGTTTAATATTACTGAGATTTCATAATTATTCTAATTTTGTTTTTGGTAATGTTCTATGATGATCTGCTTGCTGTATTTTGTTTGCTTTGATTTGATGTGCTAGGATCAGGGATAGGCCATAGTTTATCACATCTCTAAGACCTTTGGTTGAGAGTTCAAATCATGATCTCTTATTAGATTGGGTTGTGGCTATGTATTCTTACCTTTGATTTACGGGAAAGCCTGCAATCTGCTACTAGAAAGTGCTTTTAAGGTGATGCCCGTCTTGTGGCCCTAGCCGGTAAAGGACCAGATAAACTAGCCTAGGTTGTTATAGCCGCTCAAACCAAGAAGGCCTAACTGTCCGACCAAATTGGTTAGGGTTGGCCCCTATGTGGTCTTACCTTGATTACCATAACCTTGAGCTAAAGCCATCTAACAAACTGAGAAAATTGTACCATTAGACCTTAGGCTTGATTAAGCAAAATATAAAGAAGGGGTTGGTGGAGTTTGCATGAAAGAAAGGGGGAAAGGAAAAGAGGCGGCGGCTTTATATTTTTGGACTAAGGCATCATGCCAAGTTGAAGGTATAAAAGATAATTTATCATCATCCACTTGGTAAGTAAGTTGTGACAACCTTCATATTAATGTTAACACATGTCAATAAATCGGTTTTTCAAGTCAACCATGATATTGGAGTCACCTTTAGGAATATGTCTTTTGAAATCTTAACAGTTTCGGGTAGTTTTGCTTTTTGATGACAATGGCCTAGCTGCTGTTCTGTGTCTAATTCTTCTGCCTTATATTTTCTAACGATTTGGATTTTCTTTTCGATGTGAAGATGATTCTCCAACATCGGTTGTAAGGATTCCCAGGTCATATATCTCAAATTCACCCAAACCTGCAAGTCCCGTCTCCACAGGTTCCAGCGTTTTCTAGTTCTATTCTTCTGTGATTATATTGAATCAAAAGCACTGATTCATATTATTGGCAGGAGCAACGAATAACACGAGCCAAAAAACTTCGAGTGAAGGGACAACTAAACCCAGATCTAGTTCAGTCCCGAGACCACGAGCAGTCTTGTCTAGTCCAGGTACTACCTCACTGAACTTTCGTGCACAGAATCTCTCGTACTTGTTCTTGTAATATCTTCTTTCCCTTTGCAAAATATACCATTTATGGAACTGATTTAATTATCATGGGCTAAGATTATAGAAGGAAAGTATTAATTGTTACTCTTATTCAATGAATCTTTACTCGGTTCTAAGGTTATAGAGGATCAGAAAAACCAATCTGGCCAGCACTTTGCCCCTCAATTGGGCCGGCCCGGTGCGAATGGGGATTAGTCCGAGTATAGTACGGGCTTAAAGGTGCCTCCTACAGTTAGGACATGCTCAGGGCACCTCATGGTCTGACCCAAAAGAAAAAAAAAACTATATTTTACCATATGTATACTTTGTGTTGCTGGCTAAAAGCATTGTCTTTCTTTCTTTCTTTTCCAGATAATGATCAAAGGATAGGAGTTAGTAACAAGCCGAGAGCTAAATTGCTTCCTGGATTGAAAAGTCAGAACACGTGCCAAAGTAGACATACACAGTGCAAAATTATTCCCAGAATGGCGAAAGCTGAAAGCCATTTAAACGCTAAAGAGTTCAAAGATTCAGATCAAAGCAAAATAATTCCTAGAATGACCAAAGGTGAAAGCCGCCCTATAAACGCTAAAGAGTTCAAAGATTCAGTTCATGGTGAGACTGGCCTTCCGGTTAAAGGAAGGTTAGCGAGAACTGAACTGAATCTGAAGACACATATCAGAAAAGGGCCAGCATCTGTTAGAAGCAAAGCACTCGGTAATTCCACAGTGGCAGAGTAAATTATATTTTTGATTGAACCGCTCTTGCCAGCTGGAGTTCGTTTACACGGATACGATATTCAAACTAATAGATAGATTTGTAGAACTCGGAGCTCATCTCCCTCTTGCATCGAGCATGTTGCCAGGATCTTTTTTCTGTAATCTAACCGCTAACGCTTCTACTTGTTTCAGAACAAGTTAAACTGTCTGAGTAAGCTAAAGTTAGAGCAGCTTCTTGTTCTTGTTTCTTGGTTTTGTTAGCATTTGTTGCATCAACCTCTGTGTTGATCCATTGTAGCTCTGAAGTTTTATATGATGATTTGATGAGTGCCAGTTTTCCACTTTTTCTTCTCATTTTCGACTCGCGAACTCTTCGTTCGTGTAATTCTTTCTTATGGTAATGGCATGGTAAATAATGGTTCACCAAATTCCCTTGATTCCCTATTCCTCCATGGACTTGTTCATGCATAAACATGGGTCCTTAAAGCTCCATGTCCATGAAGTTATGTCTATAGTTCTATATTAATTTTGGGTATATAGTTGTGGGATAGATAGATGGAGGGAGAATACTAATAAGTATATAACTTATATGCTAATGAGGATATGATAAAGAATACAATGGATATAAACATAGTAGAATAAAGAGTATTGTATTAATGTATTAATAATTTAATACTGAAGAGTTTTTAGTACAATTCAAGTATAATATAAAGAAGTTCCGGGACTCTACAATGGTCAGGTAGGAGAAATTTTGATTGTAGCAAAAATGAGATGTGGTGAGTGTACGGGTGTGTTATGTCGTCCTCGGCGGATTGGGGGATATGGCACGCAATACGCAATCACAAGAAACTAGGCACTAGCACTAGGCAATCAACAAGAAGCTAAGCAAACTACAAGTTTAAGGGAATGATAAGACTAACACATATACACAAAGATAGGACTCAAGCTTGGGAGCATTATCATCTAGATGCTTTAACAGCCTAAGGGATTAGGGAGAACAAGTAAGCAAGGAATCAAGCGGGAATGCACGTAGGTATCCTAGTCTATGAACCATTTTCGTGATTAATAAACAAGGATTAGAACAAGAAATTGCCCCACTTTCGTGGTGAATCAATTCCAAGTCCATCAAGCACAAAAGCATCTAAAGCCCCCAATTTCCCCTATTTTCGTAGGAAGAAATCGGGTCTATGCAAGGGGTGGCTTGGATTCATCACCCAACTCTCGTTGAGGCAAGGAATCCTCCAAAAACAAGCTAATGAATGTGTACATCAAACATTAACAAGATATAAATACAAAACCTTCACAAACACATGAACCCTAGGTTGGAGTTCTTCCCCCTTTTTGCAATAATCACAAATCAAGCATCAAGATAGATAATACAACCCTAACTCAAGTCCATAAACTAACTACTCATGATTAAATAGCATAAAGAACACAAAAGCATAAGTAACAAACATAAATCTTGCAAAAGAAATAGATAAAAGGAAGAAAAGCTTCTCTATTGAAAATGGATGGTGGAATTTTGAAATGTTGGAATCCAAGCTTCAAATCCAAGATTACAAGCTTCAAAAGTGTTAAGAAACATAAATCTAAGCATATTCTAACCTAAAAATATGAAGGAGAATGAAAGAGAGTGTCTAGGGTTTTAACAAGAGTCAAAACCAAGTAGAAATGACAAAAAACGGAGTTTATAAAAAGTTGCAGCAGAGGTGACACGGCCAGGGACATGGCCATGTCCCTGGCCGTGTCCAAAACAGCAGTAGCTACTGGAATGCACAGAAAATACATGGCCACAGACACGGCCGTGCACTTGGCCGTGTCTTTTGTCACTCAAAACGTCAGATTTTGGAATTATGATCTTTATGAAAGTTGTAGCCCTTCGAGTCTTCTTTCCAATGGCGCAAGAATAACTTTATTTGGACATTCCTAGGCTGAGATATGGTCCAAAAACCAAACGGTAGTCAGTTTTGGTTTGTCAGTTTGGAACTTCAACTTCAAGGACAATTTGGACCCCTGTGGCTTCCTTTTTAGACTTTGATGTATTTATAAGAATTGTAGCCCTTTGAGTCTTCTTTCCAATGGAACAAGAATCACTTCATTTCAACACTCCTAGGCTGAGATATAGTCAAAATACCGAATAGTGGTCGAAATGAGCGAAAATTGCAATGCATTGATCTTTTGCTCCTCTTTTGTTTTGGTTTGCCCAAATGACCAACACCATTGAAAACACCACTCTTAGGCTCCTTTTGAAGTGTTTTAGCCATCCTCTTAGCTTCTCCTTGGCTCCCATTGACTTCTAATGCATCCAAAACGCTCCATTTGACTCCAATGTCCACCAAAATGCCTGAAAATACTCAACTTTGCTTCCAATGCTTTTCAAACCAAACTCCTTGCAAAATAACACAATTTAGTCCTAATCTCATGAAATTTGGAAGAATATATGAGCAAAATGGCCTAGTGAAAGGGGAGAAAATATAGACAATTAAGCACTTATCAAATTTTCTATTTATAGTGTACGAGTAAAGAGTAGATATTGGGTTTTACATTAATATATAGGTCTCACATGGCAGCTCAAGTCAGTCACGGCATGTGTTACGTTGATATTAAAATCATGTGTATATAGCATGTGGTTACGTAAGTGACCCGTTTTGTTGTCATCTCCCAATCTAGATAACCCGTTTCATTCTTAGCTCAAGTTCTTAACTATACTTAGGACCTAATCACCGAATTTCTTTTAAGAAAAATGCAGCCGCAGTATGAAGATTATGTTTAAGTAGACAGATTCCTTGTGTGCATTGACATTTGACCCTGTCTGTTGTGCTGAGTTATTGTAATTTACGTTCTCCCAAATATTATGTCGAACTGAAGTGTGGGGCCCTCGGGTCGGGGATTCAAGTATCCTTAACTAAGATTAATCCATAATAAGCTCAATGTACTCTAAATTAGTTGAAAGTGACAAAAAGAGAAATGTGGGTGGGATGAAACCACCACTGCACACTGGACACCTTATCCGTCGTCGTCGTCTATCCTCCGCGATCTCATTGGCCACGGTCTCGCCACGTCAGCAAACGAATCGCCATAGCTGATAGCCCCATACTTCACACTCTAGTTACTGGTTGGTGGTTAGCACCATCTCTCTCAATCACTCCGATCCACAACCACCACAGAGCCGCCGCCCATCAACCAACGATATTCCGGCGACATGGCAGCCACCGCCATGGCCTCCTCCTTCTCCACTTCCATGCAAACCCTAAAATGCACCCGCCCCAAGACCCGCCACGCCTCCGACCACCTCCTCACCCTTATTCCCATCAAAACGTCGCCGCTGCAATCGCACTTTCTCGGGATAGAACCGTGCCTGTTAACGAGCAGCAAATGGAGAGTGCACAGGCTAGCGGCCGCGGTGGCGCAAGAAGAGGCGGCTGTCACGGAGACGCCGGCCGCGCCGGAGGAAAGCGGCGGCGATGGCGATGATCAGAGTAGTGGCGTGAATTGTAAGCTCTACTTTGGGAATTTGCCGTATAATTGTGACAGTGCGCAGCTTGCTGGGATCGTTCAAGACTATGGTAGCCCTGAGCTTGTTGAGGTACTATACTCTTCCCCTTCCCCATTTTTCCTGTGTTAAAAGTACAATAAAATAAGAGAGAACATATGTCTTAAAGGTCATGAGTTAGACTAGCTAATTGGTTGAATTTAACATGATTTAGTCCATTGAGTGAATTGAAGCATGTATGCGGTGAGTTTCAAGCAACACGTGGACCGTAGTCGGAGATTCGATCGAAACCATGACCTTTGGTCTGGTTCTGATATCAAATTGAAGCATGTGCTCCATCACAACTAAAAGCCTAAGCTGACAGTTAGTGGTTATATGCTCAACAGAGTGGCTGACAGTTAGTGGTTATATGCTCAACAGAGTGACTCAATTTGTATGGTCACCATATTTTGTGTGATGTCTATAGAACTAACTGAGTTGTCTGTGTGGGTGTAATCTTGTTACAATTAACATGGATTGTTGTGATCAATTCATCAATCAATCAAGATAAACAAGAAATTAGCTGCCTTTTGCAGTAGATTAGGGTTTAATTGATTTGATTAATGGATCAGGATAATGTTGTTGTATGGAACTTCATTTAGACAATTAGACCTGCACCAAAGATATAGACACTTGGATTTGCAGTGCAAATGATACGAACTTAAGCCCTAACTACGTCACAAAAGTTTCTGTTGTTTTTGCCTTGTTCAATTCATCTCGAAGCTAATGTTCAACCATGGACTTGTGTATATATAGGTTCTGTACGATAGAGAAACTGGCAAAAGCAGAGGGTTTGCTTTCGTGACGATGAGCTGTGTTGAAGATTGCAATGCTGTCATTGAAAATCTTGACGGAAGAGTAAGAAATCCCAGATTGTGTAATCTCGAATAGGTTGATTGGAACCATTAAAAGTTAAAACTAAACTATGCTGTAATCTGGAATAGGTCGATTGGGACCGTTAAAGCTGAACTATGATGTTTCAGGTGTTTGGCGGTAGAACACTGAGGGTGAACTTCTCGGACAAGCCTAAGGCAAAGGAGCCTCTATATCCAGAAACCGAGTACAAACTTTTCGTTGGCAACTTAGCCTGGTCTGTCACATCCGAAATGCTAACAGAAACGTTTGGAGCATATGGCAGTGTGGTTGGAGCGAGGGTTCTGTATGATGGGGAGACCGGAAGGTCCCGTGGCTATGGCTTTGTTAGCTATGAAACGAGGGAGGAGATGGAAAACGCGATCACTTCTCTGAATGAAGTGGTATGACTTTTAAGCTATTTATTGTTGTCGTTTACTCGATCAACTCAAGATTTGTTCGCCAATAACTGCGTGTATTTTTGCACGATTTTCACTGTCTCAGGAGCTGGAAGGAAGGGCAATGCGAATCAGCCAAGCACAGGGCAAGAAACAGTAGGGCGAATAGAATTTTGTAAAGTTGTGAACTAAACAAAGCATGAAATTACCATTTGGTTTGCAGTATTAGTGGGAATTCTAGTGGAAAGATGACTGTTTCTTGCACAGCATCAAATAGTTGTTTGATGACCATTTGCAGGTGACTCTGTGGATTTCAACTATTTCTATTGATGCATCTAAGCAGTATTTGGAGATTTACAAGTGAGAATCTAACTCAATATGAAGAAGATGATGATGAAAACCATGTCATAAGCATTGAACTGTATCCCCGGTCCTGGGAGGCCGAGACTCGACTGAATTAGTCTTATCTTACGCCCTCCATAATAGTCCAAGATTTCCACTTTACTTGCTCCTTTACACTTCAATTTAGCTCTCCTTAGACCTTACTTTGGGCTATGACCCAACACATTATAGTTGCTCTAGTAGGGATATCGTTAACTTGGTCGACTTTTTCTTTACAACACTCGAAGATCTCTGACTCAATCGTTCAATCAACCCTCCATACAATGAGGATGGGATAGTTATGGGACAACTTCAGTCAAATTGGTTGTTGACTTCTCTTGGGAGTTGTCTATTGGCCTTACTGATCTGGTTTACCTCCCTCTAAGGCACAAGACAAGCTTTTACCCAGAGGCTATAGTGCACCTTTTTCCCGTAAATTAAAGTTATTTGAACACGACGAGCTCACTTTCTCGTAAATCAAAGTCATTTAAACACGAACTCATTATGTCAAGTCTCTAATAGTTCCATCATGAATGGGACCGACCGAATCCTAGATGTTGGGATTACAATACAAATTGAAAAAAAAAAAGTATTTCAATTTATTTTAATAATTAAAATAAAAAAAATTATTTTTCCATACTAAAATTATCACATAAATTATATATAATGCAGTATGTCACATTTATGTCGCTCAACCAGAACTTTGACATATTACACAAATCTTTAAAAAGTAAAGTTCATTAATTTTATTAGTTACCATAAACGAATTATATGAAATAATAAAAGTAAATATAACAATACTAAACAAAAAACCAATAATAAACTCTAGTATAGTAAAAGTTTAAAAAACAAAGGCTAAAAATGGACGGTCCGCATGAAACCAGAAATTAGCGATTTTTTATGTTTATTTTATATTTTGGTGTTTAGCTGCCTTTTTGATATACTCCCAAAATTGTTATTCTACGCGAAAACGCAAACAGCAAAGGAGCAGAGAGAGAGAGAGAGAGAGAGAGAGAGAGAGAGAGAGAGAGAGAAGAGAGAGAGCAGCGCAGCATAGCATAGCATTCAGCATTTTCAGCACCTGCTCTAAAACCAGTGGTCTTCGTTCTACGCCGCACTCTCACTCACAAATCCACTCTCCATTGCGCCGGCGCCGGCGTGCTGTGTGGCGGGAGACGAAGCTCCGGTCTCCGGTCGTCTTATCTCTCCAGTTGCGGAGAAATGTGAATTGGTATACGCGGTTTCGGGAATCGTTTTTTGTTTTTGTCTGCTCTCCAGATCTCGCCCCTGGCATTTCTAGATCTAGGGTTTTGGAGTCCCCCGCTATGGCCACGCCGTTTTCCTTGCCCGTCACCGCCGCTCAGGTCCGCCCGCCCTATCTCTCGTCTTAATTTGTCTTCGCGGCGTTGCTATTAGCTAGTCTGATGTGTGCGGATTAGTGTGTTTATATCTCGGAATATCCGTGCGCTACTCTCTCAAGTACTGAGTGAGTAGGTCCAGTAGGATGTTATGTATGTGTGCAATTCGATATTTCAGTGGCGGATATGTGTGTTTTATGCGTGGTTAGAATTGGTTAATTAGTGTGTTGTTTGAGTAAGTGTTGTTCTTTGTATGTGGCATTGAAGATGATAACAGAGTAATGCATTGGAGCTTTTGTTCTTTTCTGTTTGATATAAGGGTTTGTTTGGTTTTATTGGCTAGGTTAAGTGATTTGTGTCTTGTTTTTGAGGATATCAGGTTGGTTCCTACTTCGTAGGACAGTACTATCAGGTACTACAACAGCAGCCCGAGTTTGTTTACCAGTTCTACAGTGATGCTAGCACCATGATTCGGATTGATGCCAATGCCAGGGAGACTGCCTCTGGGATGCTGGTAATGCCTTTGACTGTTTATTATTTCATCTGTTTGGTAGGGTTTGGACTTTGCAGAAAGAATAGTCTTAGTGAATTAGTTGTGAATGAAAAGTTTTAGTTTTTGATGGTTCAGTTAGTTAAATATTCACTTGTGAGCTGACGGTGTAGTTGCCAATGGTTTGGCATAGAAAGGCTAGTTTTTTTATTAGGGATTCGACAAAAGAAGCTAAAGAGCATGGAACAAATTGGAGAGACACCTCTTTCAGTTGCCTCTGTTTACTTCTTCAGTTAAAATGGATCATATTGGAACTAGATATGTTTCATTTTCAGTTCATATGTTCCAGTAAAAACTAGATTTGATCATTACCCCTCATACTTCACTAGTTCAGTGTTGCACTTCCTTGCAAACCTAAATGGACTTGATATAAATGTTTTCCAAACCCAAACTAGCTGAGTCTAGATTTTATTTTTTGCAGAACTAGGATTAGATCCAGATCTAATAGGTTATCAGACTCTAGATGAGTAGCGAGGGAACTGGTAATACTCTAATAAAAATGGGATTTGAATTTAGGATCTTCTTAAGGAGCTTCTGTTTAATAATTTCAAATTAGTGTGGTTCCTTATTTATTTTTGCTGATTGATTGTTACTCAATTTTCTGTTTATATAGTCTTTACAAAGTCACCCCTTACATTCATACTTGCAGCAAATCCACACGGTTATCATGTCACTCCATTTTACTGGTATAGAGATCAAGACAGCACATTCCTTAGATTCATGGAATGGTGGTGTTCTAGTCATGGTTTCAGGTTCTGTCCATGCAAAGGATTTTAATGGGAGAAGGAAGTTTGTGCAGACCTTTTTCCTTGCACCCCAGGAGAAAGGTTACTTTATTTTCAATGATATCTTTCACTTTGTTGAAGAAGAAAGGATAATCCAACATCACGTTGCCTATTTAAGTCAGGCCAATCTTGATACCAAGCTGAATACGTCAGCTACATTTCGTGATCAAGGTACGACTTTTAGCCTTTCATTTATCTTATCTGATAGAATACAATGCTCCATAACCTATATTAGTTTCCTTCATGTATTCGTGTCGAAGTTTTGATGCTTTTTACATATTATTGACACTCAGTATGAGAGAATCTCTCAGAAATTATAGTTCTCTGCGAGTATGCTAGAAAATAGGTTGCTTCTGCAATACCTTGCCAATAATGCTGAATTGCTGAAAGTCTATTCTCCAGTTTTAAGATTAAACATTAATTCTGCAGTATCCAACTACTTGCTGGGTGGAGAAATCCAGGCAAGGGATTTTGTGCCTCCTGCAAAGATTGAAGAAAATGGACCAGCGAATGACTACCACTTTGCGGAGGAGCAGCTACAGCAAGTCTCTGAAGCTGAAAAGATCCCTGAGGATAATTTTGCTGTGCAGTCAAATGGTTCACTTCAGAGTACAATGAACCATGCACAGGACCATTTATCTGCTACAATTGAGGAACCAATTGCTGAACCCCAGAAACACACTTATGCTTCCATTGTATGTATTTTCCTTATGTTTTCTTTTGCCTTAAATTCCAAAAGAATGGTTGATCCTGTGATACTGAAACTTTTCTTTTTTTCTGTTTGGTAACCTTTGAAAGTTACAGGTTGCTAAAGCACCATCTGTGCAAGCTGTACCCGTGCAGGCCTCTAACAAACCTGCACCTCCTTCATCTGAGTGGCAAGATGTACCAGATCCTCCTAGTCAGCCAGCTTGTGTGCCATCCAACTCTGTTGAGAGGTCTGGGGCAGAAGTGGTTGAAGAATATCCAGCTGTGGAAGATGAAAGTTAGTATAGCCTTCTATTTTGTTATGAAGCATCCTTAACCACCAGTTAGCGTACTTTCTTTATGCACATAAACATGTCTGTTTGTATTTCAACAGATAAACTCAAGTAACTTATTATGCGCGTATTTCTTTCCTTTCTTATAGTGGAGGTGAAGTCAGTGTATGTGAGAAACGTACCGACAACAATGGATCCTTCCGAAATTGAGGAGGAATTTACAAAGTTTGGTAAACTAAAGCCTGATGGTGTGGCCATCAGAACGCGGAAGGTTTGTTCTTTTATATATTTTCATGCCTTAACCTTCAAGGTTTTATTGTTATTGCTACTACTACTTTTTGGGTCTTAAAAAGCATACTGATTTTGGCATATGTGCATGAAACTGATGCAGGATTTTGATGTATGCTATGCATTCGTTGAATTTGAAGATGTCTCGAGTGTGCAAAATGCAATTAAGGTTTGACCTTGCATTATTGAATGTGTTGATAACATATTTTATACTGGACTAGAGTGCATGTGAAGTAATGAAATAATATCTTTAATTTATTTCACAACTAATTAATATAATATATTCCTCCCCACTGTCTTTACACTAATTGCATTCTTTATTTTATATAAATTTTAGCTTTGATGCCATTGTTAAAACAATTGTATGTCTGAAGAGTGAAGATAGCATGGTTGCTTATTTCTTATTTTAATTGCCTCATTAAAATATGCTTCAGGCATCTTTTGTTGAGATTGGTGGACACCAGTTATACATTGAAGGAAGAAGACCGAACAGAAACAACTTGTATCGCGGAAGTATGTACTTTTCTTCCATGTAGACCTCAAATTTGCAAACTTAAGTTCTCCATCTTTCTTGCTTTATTTTATTTATTTTTAATCTCTGCTAGATCTTTTTATTAGGAATTATTCTTCCCTCCCCCACCTACCCACTCAACCCCCCCCCCCCCCCCCCATCATCATCACACACTGAAAAGGGCTAAATCCCCAATCACCACCAAGGTTCAATGTTGCAGAAGGCGTTAGTCGGGCGCCTAGCACACCTAGGTGGGCGAGTAATTATTTAAAAAAAAAAAAAGAGAAAAGGCAGTAGGCTATGAATTGGTAGACTGTTATAATCCCCAAACTAGTCAACTACATACGTTAGACGGTTAGTTTAGTACCTGGCTGGAGGAATATGGAAGAGGAGCATCGGAGTAGGTGACAACGTACAAGTGAGGGAATTAAAGAAAAAAGCCATTCGGCAAAGTTGGGCGCGGAGGGCGCCTAGTTGGCCGGCCGACTAAAAGCTGCCTAGGGGCGGCCACCTAGGCCCATTTTTACAACACTGCCAAAGTTATTGCCCTCAAACCTCTAATGCCAGTATTACGATTTGTAACTTGACAGTTGATACATGACAACCCTTTTGCTAATGACTTTTTGTGGTTAAGTCTTCTCCGTGGATGGCTTGATACTTCACTGGATGTTTTATTGTTTTAGGCACATTCAATTTCGGATTTTACAACTGGCTTTCTCATCACATGAAAACATCTGATGTTCAAGACGTTTATGTATGTTACAACAGGAGGACGCGGTAGAGGCAAGGTCAATTACCAGATGGACGGAAGGGGGTTGCGCTTTGGTGGCCGTGGTTTTGTCAGGGGAAACGGTCAAGATGGAGGTGATCGCGACTACAGAACTTCATCTAGAGGAAACGGTTTCTACAGGCAAGCTCCCCGCCTTTCTGGCAATCAATACGGGTCGAGAAATGGACACATCGTATCAGAATAATAATACAGTTAAGTTTACGCTTACTACGATGCAAGTGGCTTCAGAACACTAATTCAACTACATAGCTTCCATAATCATCAGTATATGTTGAGCACACAATTTATTTATTAGATATGATGCTGAAAGGAATCTTTCCAACATCTTTTTCTGGGCAATTTTAGATTATTTATTTTAGCTTACATAAACAGACTTGTGGCACTGAATTCTGGCTTTTACAATATTTTCTATAAATCCCAATATCCAATAGATAATATATCATTAATTTCTGAAACTTTATGGTAAAAAGAGGGTACTGCATACATCTACTGCCAAATTCATGTTTCACAAGAAGGCAATACATTCAGATTATTGATTGCAGCTTTACCTGCTATACAACACAACATACATTTTCAACATTGTATCTGGATTGTGAAAAACATTTTAATTCGCTACGTCGCCTTAGATCAGTGGCATTCCATTGTCATTCTGATGCAGCATCTTCGTCGTCTTCCTCTGTTTGCCATAGAAAACGAGCATATGCTGCAAGCACATTGCTGAAAACAAACAGGGACAAAAGAAATCAAATGTAAATTGCTAACCTTTTCCTAATACCAGGGCCCCCTTGGAATAGGCAAGGGTAACAGATTGTTTCTGGGAATTCTATTTCATTCCTACAAATGTCTATATTTTGTATATTTAATCCACCATATGACAGGGGAATGGATTGTGAATACCTATCTTCTGGAGAAGCTTGAAGTGCTCTCTTGAAGTAGGATGATGCTTTATCTTTGTCGTGACGGAGTTGCCAGATGAAATTTGCGTATTCCGAAATGATTTCTCCATCACTATGGTGGTCAGCTAGAATTGTGCTCGAATAATGTTCATCTCCCTGTAGCTCTTCGTTGGACTGCAAATCAAAATAACATGCCCAGTTAAGAAAATTCTAGAGTTGAGAAGCAATTTATGGTTAAGCATTTGCAGGAAACCTGATCATCACCATCATCAATCTCCCATAGAAAACTAGCATATGCTCCAAGAACATGGCTGAAAAAGGGGACGCAAATTGTCAGGCACAACTCGTGAAGATGGGAAGTATAAAAGAACGAGAGATATCAATCTTGCTATGAGTAACTATGAGGGGAACTGTAAAAAGTTCACTAGACCGCTAGACCTACAAGAAAAAAATTCATTTTTGGGTTGTCACCGGGAAATCAAGATATGGGTCCATAAATCAGGATGCTTCATAGAATTCAAAGCAACAAATCTAATCCTAGGTAACCCCGAGATTGTGGCAGAGTAGCAAATTTGATGACAAAACTCTAGATTCAACTTCGAGGCAAGCTCACCTTATGTTCTCAATGCAAAATCAAATCTTTGAAACCGAATAAACTAGAATACAATATTGGAAATCAAGTGATGACCATCCAAGGCTGTCATAACAGAGTAAAATGCACAAGGAATTACCTATCTTGAGGAGCAGCAAGAGCTGCACGCTTAAAGTAACTATAGGCTCGATCTTTATCATGATAGAGCTCCCATACCAATTTAGCATATTGCATTAATATATCACCGTCTTTGGGATCAGCTAGGGTGGCAAGAAAGTAGTGTTCCTCAGCTCCTGATAGATCGCCCTTTGCCTGTAGCCAAAGATACATGGTAAAACAACATTAACAATGAATAAAAACCATACATCCCAGGATAATTGCAAACACCAAGTAGCAAGAACATTGTAGCATTGCACAAGCCTTTTCCAGCTGACTCACTATTAGGTTTGCCATAATGCTATTACACATGTATAGAATGGTTAAATGTTGGTGTCACATCATCCAATTTTTACAGTTATTCTTAAACTGAGATAGAGGAGTTTAGGCCTCTAAGGTGTTTGGAGAGCTGAGACACTCCTATATCTCAAAAACAATTAACTTGGTCAGTTGGCTTGGTAACCACAAGTTCCACGTTCAAGCTAACTACTAGATTAGGCCTTCTTGTTTTGAGCGGGTCAACTATGTGCAACCCAAACTAGTTTACTGATCTTTTGCTAGCTATGGGCAACCTAGACTGGTGTACTGATCTTTTGCCAGTTATGGACAACCCAGTCTGGTTTGCCAGTTATGGACAACCCAGTCTGGTTTGCCAGTTATGGACAACCCAGTCTGGTTTAATCGTCTTTTGCTAGCTATGGGCAACCCAGACTGATTTACTGATCTTTTGCCAACTATGGGCAAACCCAGACGGGTGATCTTTTGCCAACTATGGCAACCCAAACTGGTTTACTGATCTTTTGCTAGCTATGGGCAACCTAGACTGGTTTACTGATCTTTTGCCAACTATGGGCAACCCAAACTGGTTTACTCATCTTTTGCTAGCTATGGGCACTGGTTTACTGATCTTTTGCCGACTAGGATTATAAGGCGAGTTATCCAAGATGGTAGTGATTGCGGCTTTCACTCGTGTGGTGATCTTTTGCCGACTAGGATTATAACTTGTCCATATTAGTAGTGTGGTAAAACTATAAACTTCTTTTAGCAATGCATAGAATAGGATCCATGATGCAACCAAAACATAATTTAAGAAGATAATAATAAGGCAAGCTTTGTAAATGGGAAGGAAAGAAGAATGACCTGCAAAAGCTGAGCATATTTCCTCAGAAACAAAGGGTTGGAAGGGTTCTCTTCCACCATCATCTTACAGTAATTCTCATCTCCATCAATTCCCAAACCCAAATCCTTAAACCCATTCAAGCCTTCATCTTTCTCCTCATTCTCCCCTTCACCATCCTTTTCATCAATCAAACCCATTCCCTTGCCAAAGCTGAATTCTCCGCCGCTATCCATGGCTTCTGCAATCGAATCTCCATTCCTGATCTCTCCCGGGAGCCCCTCGTCCGAATTGTAAATCGCAAATGACGCTTCTGTATGCAACATTTCTCTCCACTCTTCTGTGTAAAGATCCGGAGAACACTTATGGGCTATGGTGTTATTCCCTTCAATCGAGCTCTTTGGAAAATCTTCTGGATTCAATTCAGAAGACCCAGAATTGAAGGATAGATCTTAGATGTTGGGCGCCATGAAAGATCGAGTCTTTTATGAGATTAGTGTCCAATTCTTTGTTGGGACTATCCAAGAAAACAAAGGATTTCAGCAAGTGGTGGTGTAGATACTGTAGATGAGCTTCAATTTGCAGTATCCTATTTGGATTTGAGTTCCTCTAATGTGTTGTTCTTATTTTATTTTATTTTCTTTCATTTCTCAAAATTCCTTCTAGTTGTCTTGTCCACAAAAAACGAAATTGTCCCGTCTCTCGGATCCATACCCGGACTCGACAAGAACTCTTCTAGTTTTCTCTTGATATCGAATATCGTATAAAAATTTATCATTTTTCTAATGAAATATTTGTTCGATTACATTATTTTAGATTATTAGATATAGAGAAAATAACATTTATAGTTCCTTAATTATACTGTAAAATGACTTTTTTATTTTGCTAAGATTAGATTAAACAAAAAGTCACTTTATAAACAATTAGAAGACTTTAAGCACCTTGTATTCAGATGTCACATTTATCCCCTTGATGGAAGATCATAGAATCGAACTTATCGGTGATGAAGTATTGACTCTTTGGGCTACTATTTTCCCTTATAATTGCACAAAATTAAAACGTGCATTATAAACTCAACAACTTCATAATTGATAAACAGACTATTGAATTGATTCAATTACAAAATTTGTAACTTATGTAGTTACACTATATTAAAGAGCTTTAAATTTAATTTTCTTAGAAATAAAAATTTGTAAGTACATTGTGCTTAGATGACATGTAGTGACCTTTCTTATATGGGAGGTTATGAGATTAAGCCTTAGTGGATGCGCTTAAATGTTAATTTTCTTTAAAATAAAAATTTGGAAGTACCATTGAGACAAATTCAGATTAACTTTGACCACTCAACTAAAAAATCTTCAATAAATTTTTAAATGTTTTTTTTTTTTTTTTTTTGGGTGTTACAAGTATAAATTTTACCATCTTAGTTAGTTGATGAAGAAATCACATGCTATAGAAAATAAATTAAAGGGATTGAGATCTACGTCAATACGTGATGCATGTGACTGCCTACCTTTCCCTTCTTTACAATCAATCAACCATACATCATATCATTTTCTGCAAATTATTTGCCAATTGCATTAATATACACCTTATAATGGTTGTATTCTTTTACAACCACAAAATTCAACTATTTCTTTTAATGTGATAATGAATGGTCAAGTTGGTAGAACATAATTCTTATGTTTGAAGATTATGAGTTTAATTCTTATCAACATTCTCTCACAGTTAAACCTATTGAACATGATCTTTTTAGTGAGATGCAATTTATCTTTTACAGGGCGTTTGGTTGGAGGGATTTTAAATTCCCTTCCCACTTAATTCCCACATAATTCCAAAGGCCATTAAATTCCGTAGTTTGGTTGGAGGGAATTGCAATTCCCCCATTTTCATGGAATTAAAATCCCATGTCCCCCCTGGTATTTTAATTCCTGGGAAAAAAAGATAGTGATGAGTCAAAATTACCCCTTCCTTTTTTAACCTAAAATTAATGTCTAACAACAATAATGGACATTTTTGACTTTATACTACTTATTCACTTTCAATTCCCATGTATACCAAACATTGGAATTGAAATTCCCAGTAATTCTATTCCTGTCAACCAAACACTGGAATTTAAATTCCCACTTTATTCCCAGCAATTCAACTCGCATGGAATTACAATTCCTTTCCCACATAATTCCCCCCTCCAACCAAACGCCCTGTTATGTGTGAGTTGGTGGCTATTAACGGCTACAGGTTTTCCTGGTCACAAAAAATAAATAAAACAAATTATAAAGTTATTGCCACTTGTTGTTACATAATATAAAATTTCACCATGGTTGTATTAATAACTAATTAACATGAATTGAGTTATCATTATCTTGGAAAACAGTCAAATTAGTTTCTTAATTACCAGAATTAGGCGATATCATATCGCCCTTAATTGTGCACCAAGGTGACGTTGAAGATCTCAGTGATAGCTAGAGTGTGTGTTTGACGTGTTTTAAATTCTCGTGACACGTTTAACATTAGTAACAATAAAATGTATGGAATTTAAGATGAAATCAATTGTTGTTATTATTAAAAGAGACTGTAATCAAAACTGTGAGGATCTTAGCTTGTATATATTTGGGGGTGACAACATCGCCCTTTCTCAACTCTTCCCATTGACTCAATATTCGAATGACATAACTATGCTCTTCTTGAGTCAAGAGTTTGTCCACTGTATCCTTAAATATGTAAATATGATTAGTTAATTCATATACTTATCCTACAACAAAAAATTAAAATTATTTTTGTTAATTATATACAAATAATTTGTGATAACAAATGTTGGGAGTTTTAATACTATAATAATGATCCTGTGAACATAATAAGATGAAGAGGGAACAATGGAATGGAGAGAAGAAGTGATAGTGGTCGACAAAATTATGTACCCAACTTATTCTTTCTGCTGCTAAATCATGACCAATATCCTCCTTTCTTGCATGCATTCTGTCCTTTTACAGATAAAATGGTCTTCCGTACACTCTTCCCTATTATTGTTTTTTTTTTTTTTTTTTTTTTTTTTTTTTTTTTTTTTTTTAATTGCCAACAAATTAAAATAGCCATTCTTATTGGGGATAAAGAAAAATAATAGTACGTATTATTGTATCATTGTGAGGTAGTCATAATTTAGTTTTAGTTTAGGTCTAAACAATTAGGATCATTATATTCTTGCTCTAAATTATTGAACTAGTTTAGAGTAAGTCATACTTGAATTGTGACTAGCGATATCATAAGCTTTCGTTGATTGAACTTATAAGTTAGCAAAAACTGTTTATTTTTGTTGAAAATTATTTTAATTTGATAATTAATCACTGATCGTCATTCGTGATGGGTGGTTTGTAAGACCAACAAAGAGTCATCATATTATCATTTGCAGGTGGAGATTAATTAAAAGTTAAAACTACAATTTTGAGGTGCATTAGAATTTAAAGATTGCACATTGATACAAATTAGACTCTAATTACGTTCTTTCAAAATGTTTAAACTTCAAAGTGTCAACTTTGATATTAAATGACGAACGGAGTCTTAATTAATTACACCACAAAAAGTTAATTTACTGTAATTTTAATTCAAATCTTATATAACCTAAATTTTGTCAATTTAATTCAAGTCTTATATAACCTAAATTTTGTCACTGTCATTGCGAGACTCATCCCACACCAATCTCTCAAGAATTTTCACTGTCCCTAGTTAAGAGCGTAGTGCTCACAACAAAATTAATAATTTCATATCTGTTCTTGGAATCAAACTTATATGTTATGATTAACTCTGCACCTTAATTATATTATATTATGACTAAGTCTTTTTAAATTAATGATCGAAGAGGTTAAACTATTATATTCTCCGGGCATATTAAATTAAAAATTAGAAGAGAGAGAGTTGAAGGGCGGTGAAGCGGTGGCAGAATAGAAGGAGGGCAGCCGCTAGGGTGTCGGCCATGGTGACTTTCCGGTCCATGTTTGTCTACTTGTCCCTCAATGCGACAACCTTTTCCCTTTTCGGATCTCACTTTAGATTTTTATCCGTTTCCCAATGGACCCATCCCTACTTTCCACCCAACTTTTGCTTTTTATTTTATTCTTTTACACTTTAATTAATTAATAATAAAGATGTGTGTAATTCACATATAGGGTTTACGATACGAGTCTTATATGTTAAAGATAATAGGTGTTGGAGTAGTAGAATGAAACAAGTGGAGCAAAGTAAAACGAAACTGAAAACATCAATTTTTGGGATTCTTATTCTTATTCAAATTGGTATCGTTGAGTGGGTTGAAATGCATGAGCGTTAGTACACTAGATGAGTAAATTTATAAATGTGTTATAAGTTAGGATTACATATAATTGAAATATAAATATAATACATGCTACTTTGAATATATTATGATTATAATTAATAGTTTTTTTTTTTTTTTTTTTTTTTTTTTTTTTTTTTTGGATTTCTTGGATCTATATAGCTAGGGCAGTAGCAAGTAGGCATCTGATCTGTTTTGTGGTCTGAGCTTTGAAAAACAAGAGATTTTTTGTGCTTATTGTCTTGTAAATAATAGACAAGAATATCTGGAAAGAGAGGAGATCCAGCAGGCATGCATGGAGAAGCCAAAAACACTAGAATTTGCATGCCGCCTTTACTTGTAGAAAGACTAAACCTATTCTTTTTCTCTATTTATGATAAAGCTAAGTTAGTACACTAAATAATCTTGATTAAGCATGTGTTAATCTTTATGTTGTCTTGTAAATGACAACATTAATCAAGTCACATCATCCTATGCTATAGCCAGCTGGGCTATTTTCTTTGGCTTTTAATTTGCTTAAGCATGCCTCATTCTCGCCCTCAAAAGGTGAAGTTTTTCGTTTCAGGACCTTCATATTTTGACCAGACAAAGATTATGAAGAAATAATAATGGTAACTTAATAACTTATTAGATGGGAGGACCAGTATCTAGAGTCTACAAAGAGTTGATCACATTGAAAAGGGCCGGGTTTAGGAATGTTGTATGAAACATTGTTGTAAAGCAAGCAGCTAGCTAGACACCTAAGACTTAGGGTGTTTTCCTAGGTAGGCATGATCATTGTCGGGGAAAACCATTATTATATACTGTCCAAACTTTGTTAAATACTCGAATATGAAGTTGATATGATGATATTTTTTCCTTTAAACACCCAGACCAACATTCTCATTTTTCTAATATATTTTAATTTTCTCTTTAAAAAATGAATATATATATTTCTCTGATTTATATATTTATTTCTTGGGGGCATTACAATTATATAAGAGTGCATGAATATGCATTGAATGGAAAAAGATGTTGAAGGCATAAATAATAAATTTTAAAAATGATATTTTTACCTATAAAAGGGGAATAAAATGGAGTCTCTTCCATTACAGCTTAACTAATGAGATAGTGTTTTGCCACTCTATGATTAGTGTCGATGTATGGTCATAGTTGTCTGGTTAAAGAAACACGTATTCAGACAAAACTATACAGTAGTTTATAATTTTATTATTGATATTGTAGAATTTTTATGAAAGAAAATTATTTGGGTTATATAAAAGTCTTGCTAATTACATTCTCATTTTATTATCAATAAAACAAATTAATTGTCTTGTTGGGGTAATTTAAATGGTCGACCAATCAACATTTAGTCTTGTTTCTCGCATTAAAAATTTAAGGAGTCACAGTAATGAAGATATTTTATGCGTAAATTAAAAGTGTACAAATAACTAGAAAACTAGGTTATAAATAAAGGTAAATTAATTTAATTTGGTGAATTAAGGTAGCTAGCTGTCAGATCCATCATGCATGGAAGTTAGAATCATTAGTTTGGAACCAAGATGGTCAACCATATGTATAAAGGGGCTTTTATCTTGCTTCAAAGAAGAATGACAAAACCCAGTGGAAGATTTCTAGCATTCTTTGTGTCCAACAAAAGTTTTCAAAACGAATTTGATTTTACTATTCTTTGTGTCTCATCTTTTTACTAACTACGGAGTACTTGTCTACTACTTGTGCTAGAGAATGAAAAACAAAAATGTAATTTAATTTTCTTAAAATGTCTCAAATTTAAATTCTTGTAGTATGTGTATAGAGAACATACGTAATATCAAACTCGTAAAAATCTAGTGTTGTTAAAATTAGACCAGATAGGCAGACAAGTTAAGGTTAAATACAAATTTTCAATCAAATGAGACCCTTAGGAGAATTGTACCCTAAATGGAGTCGCATTGATTTTTGGTTGGATTAGTTTCATCCGATGCGAGTACTATTGTAATTTGTAAACATAAAAAATAAAAAAAAATAAGATCGAATAATTTGACTATAATTATATAATATAATACATCTGATTTTTTACCCGTATACTCTCTAATGTGACAATTGATCATTAGTCTCTATTATCTAAACTTCTAAAGTTATGATTAATAATGCTATATTAAAACACAATCATCCACTACTATGCAATATGATTCTACTTTCTTAACCAAAAATAGAAATCTCATAAATAAATAGTTAGAATAGTATAATAAGATGATGGCATAAAAACAAGAAAGTTGCTGCAAATGAGAGGCAAAGAAGCTTGAGGGTGAAGTTTCCCAAAGCTGAAAGACAGTGGATGGCGCACTAGCCGACATGTGGGTCCCAGCGCCATCACCACCTCCACCATCAAGGATCCTTCCCCTCCATGCTCGTCTCCAAGTTCTTCTTTTTTTAGGTCCCAACAAAGCCGTTAGCACACTCTCCTTCTCTCCTCATTATCTCACCTTAATCACTCTACTTTTCTGTTTAATCTCAGATTATAATTTTTGGAGTAACCATTCTTGTTCTGTCATGGGTAATGAGGCAGAGCTTGAGCTGGGGTTGGGGCTGAGCCTGGGAAGTGGGGTGGGGAAAATCAAGAAATCATCAACTAGGGGGTGGGGTGACTGTGGTAGAATTTTGACAGCTAAAGATTTCCCTAATGGCTTTTCAAGTGGAAATGGAAGGGCTAATAATGCTGCAGTTTCTGGCACTAAAAGAGCTGCAGATTCTTATGCTGGCTCTCCTCCTTCTGGTGTTAGGTGATTATAATCTTTCCCCTCATCATTTTGCTTCATTAGATTATAAATTTCATTGTTACCCAATTGTCAAAATCACAACTTTAACATGAATTGTGTACCATGGACCTTGTGGTCTAATGGTATCAAGTTGCTCCCTCTGTGGGGGAGGTTGTGGATTCAAGCCTCGGGGGAAGTTTGTGCGGTTACTACATTGTAATAGAGTCAATAGTATTAAAAAAAACATGAATTGTGTGAGAAATGAATCTCTGTCAAGTTGATTTGGTAACCACAAGGTTACAAGTTCTACTCTCAGCGAAAACAACTTATTAGCATAGTCTGAACCAAACAGCTATATATATGGACAACCTAGACTGGTTTATCACAAAGTGACGTTTACCCAGTGCACACTCTGTTGTAGTGGTTGTGGGTTTTCATGGTGATTAAAAATAAAATAAAAATGAATCATTTTGTTGCCCATATATGGTCCAAACATGAAATCTTGACAAAGTTCACTCCTCTGTAATTTATGATGATTCAACTTTAATGGTGAGAGAACATTTCTGGGTAACCAAGATTATAACAACAATTTGTCATTTGCATAGCTTGTTGATGTTGCACTGATATGATGGTGATTTGTGAACAGCAGCCAGGTGGTGGGGTGGCCACCCATAAGGGCTTACAGGATGAACAGCTTGGTTAACAATCAAGCAAAAGTTCCAAATGCTGAACAGGATAAGGGAGTTGGGGGTGAGAACAAAGAGATCTCAAAGAAGAAAATGAACCATGGAAATTACAAGGATGATGCAACAAGTAGCAGCAAAGAAACTGGGCATCTTGGGTTTGTGAAGGTGAATATGGATGGAGTCCCAATTGGGAGAAAGGTGGATCTGAATGCTCATTCTTCCTATGAAAATCTTGCCAAAACCTTGGAGGATATGTTCTTCAAGTCCACAACAAAAACCATCAAGTCTATCTGCAGTAAGTTCTCTAGTTATAACTGGCAGCACTCTGTTTGAGATATTAGGAACAGCAAATTCGCCTCGGGTAGCTTGCCCTAGGGTCCCCACAATCTGGCCCGACAGAATTTGTGGAGATGTTAAATCACAGTGATTTAGCGGGCCCATTAGATGGAAGGACCAGGAGTCCAGGACCAATGCCTGATGCCCTGGCTGCCAGGGCTCAATCCTATGTCCTTGCCCACAATCTGCTACCCAGGAACCAACTAAGTTATCCATGCAAGCATCGAGTTTATATAGAGAGAGCACTAGCATTTGGGGAACTTTGATCTGTTATGACTGAACCATCATGGTTTGCTGTTATTGGTTTTCTAATGCTTGAGATATACTGTCCTTTTTGTATGGTTTAGGTAGGGAAAAGCAGCAAGAAATGGCACCCTTTAAGCTTCTGGATGGATCATCTGAGTTTGTACTAACATATGAGGATAAAGAAGGAGACTGGATGCTTGTGGGAGATGTTCCATGGAGGTATGCAATTGTACCTACCCCCACATTTTTCAATTTCTCATGCCATATCAAACATATAGATGAATGGACTGTGAAGAGGATATAAATCTCTCAAGTATCTTACACTATTCCCCTTGCATTTTAGGATGTTTCTCAGCACTGTGAAGAGGCTAAGAATCATGAGGACTTCTGAGGCGAATGGACTAGGTATGTATTGCCATATGTTGTCAATGTTTTTCAGGCATTATTTGCTATCTTTCACTTACGAATCGAGATTTTTCAGCTCCAAGTGTTCAAGAAAGACATGACAGACGCAAAGGGAAGCCGATCTAGCTTCATTCCTGCACTCTAAGGAGACGATTCACAAAAGCTTGGAAAACTGAAAGTATGTAGAAGGACAGTAGAACAAGAAACAAAGGCATTATACATATTAATTAAGATCAGTCTTTTGTTGTTGTGGTTTGTGGTTGCATCTTTATGTTTTGCACCCATTTTCCAGTTTATTATTAATATTATATTATTATACCACCCCTTTATGTAAGCTGGGTTAAACTAGTAGTCTTCTAGCTAGACCAGCACCCTTATACAGTTGACAAGAAATATTTGGCAAATCTTACTTTCTCATAGTGTAAATATGAGAAAATTTTTGCACCCTACAGTGTTGTGATTTGAAATGTTTGTTCTGATGAAGACATTGAAGTGGAATCAATGTAGTATTATTATTATTAGTGCACAATTAAATGTATTAACTTTTTTTTTAGTGACAAGGGAGATCAGACCCACAACAACTACATACTCAAGGGTGTGTACTGGAAAAACTCGGCATCCTGACCTAGCCGTTAAAGGATCAGAATGTGGTAAACGATCCTAGGTTGTTGATATATACATGCATTAACTTTGGGTCTAGTAATATTGGCATTCACTTCACCTAGAGTATAGTATAATGATGAATGAAAGGAAACAATTATACAGACAACAGTAAGACAAAACCAGGTATATATATATAGGCTGCAAAACAACCAAAGTGAAGTAAAATCAACTGCAATTATATGTTGCAACACAAAGGTTGTTGTTGGATAGAGACATGAACAGATAAGTGGTGGATTAGCAGAAACTATCAGAGATGAGATAAATATATATATATATATATATAATCAAGCTAAGAGCCAAAAGTTTTTCTGTGTTTTGGTATTAAGAATATATCCTGCATTTTGGCCTTTTCTCTGCACTCCAACGCAGGTGCACTTGCTGTTCTCGATCAAATATTCTGCAGTGTCTAGTCCCCTTAACGATCCACTTCTCTTGTGCCTGTCACAACACGTAATCAGATGTCAAGATCAATAAATACTTGAATTGAAATCATCATAATCATTTAAAAAAGGAATAGAAAGAATAGAGAAAAAAAGCAAATTAAAGCATGCATGCTCACCCTAGGATAGCATTTGATAGAGTCCTCTTTTGGCCTACAATAAGAAGGTCAATCCCAAGCGTGGCGCAATGGGAAAGAATGATCGGAGCTTTATCCTTCCCATCCATTATGGCCACCCGCTCCGTCTGCACACTACTTTTCGGCTGCGCAATCTCGCATGCACGCTTCAACGCTTCCAAAAACTCCATCTCTCCGCCGCCGCCGCCGCCGGCGTAACCGAGGGAGGCGGCGCCGTTGCCGAGGCCTTCTGAGCTCGGCGAGGAGGCGACCTTGGACGAAGACGGCAACGACGGCCATTTAAACAACGACCCAATCGGGTTTTTCCACGCGTTTGGATTCTCAACGTGGAGGAGAATAATGGTATCGGTTTCCAGGATTGCATGGGATAGGGCGTATTCCAGGGCCGCCGCCGACTCCCGGGTCGGATCCGCCACCACCATCACCTTACGTTTCTGATGAGCGGCGACGCCTTCCATATATGATGATCTTACCGTGCCACCATCTACGCCGTCGTCGTCAATCTCCGTCCCAGCCGGCCGGAAGAAACCACCGCCTCCTCCACTTTTGATTCCTTCCTAAATGGTAGGACGGACCAAAAGGGTGTAATGTAACCTTGCGTGGGAGAGTTTACATAAATTTGAGGTTGTCATTTTCTTTGACTTTTCATTTGTGATTCGTGAATCTTAAGGTTACTTGTCGGGGATAATTTCACTCACCCCCAACTTTCTAACAATAACATTTTAACCCCTATGTTTTAACATATGATTGTGACTACTACAAAAAAAAAAAAAAAGAGTATATAAATGTGATTTTTCGTCACTAATTTTTTTTTTTTTAAATGGTAGTGTATGGTTAAAATGACAATCAATTTTAGCAAAACAGTTTATCTAGTTTTGAGTCATTTAATTATCATGAAAGTATTGGATTGAGGTCTTGGTTTCAACTTTCAAACAAGTGGACTTAGAAAGTGGTTCTTTGATGGTGATTAGTAATGTATGTTAGTTACTAACCTTTTAAGTTAGGGTTACGTAGAGTTAGAGATAAACAATTTTATATACATGTTTTTTAAACCAAACGAAGCAAATTGCATTAACACTAGATGAATACTAATTATGACCATCTCTCCTTATAGTCTCTATTTAATTTGTTTCTCAAACAAATAATAGAATCTACAAGATTTGAAGATATGCCATCTGCAACTGACCAGCAGTCACCAAATATTACACAATCATAGTACAATTCAAAATCCAAAACAACCTAGTAATAATGCATTTGAACATAACCTTTCAAGTGGTTCAAAAAATTGAACTTTAATTTATTTAAAACGAAAAGTATTATTCCTCAATTTGGGATCAAATAAATATGTGCCCTCCAATTACGTTCAATAAGATAAGAGGCAACTTGGCCGGCATGCATACTTGTTTGATCATCAGGTCATCACCTACATCACATGATGGTGCAAGCACCAAGAGTACTGGCAATTGTCAGAACCGCAGCGCCGACGTTGAGTATTGCCTGTCCTACCCTCAATGCACCCACCACTCTATCATCACGCGGATTCTACACCACAATATATAATTAAGCCTCCATTAACTTTAACAAGTAAACAAACAAAACAACAAACAACGAGAGGCTCAAGCTATTCACTTTGAAACTATAATGTTATAAATTTAAATCTCAATGAGAGCGATTTATTGACATTTTTAATTTGAGTTGGTCAGTTTAGAACCATAAAAATAGACGGGTGAGACGGGCTAAAAATCCTACCAATTTGGTGATGCTAGCAAGGATCGGCCCATGGGCTAGGATTGGGACCCACTAATTAACATAAAAATGTTACATTAATGCCTTTGTAATTTGTTAAACAAAATAATACTCCGTAACTAATAAAGTAATAAATTGTAATGAATCGTCATATATATATCATGCATGCATATCCACAAGTCAATAATAACAAATTATTTATACAATATAATAAACATTTTGTATAAATAAATTAGTAATTATAAATTTCTTTGTCTTGTTTGAAGAAATTATGTACTTAAATTATATATATATATATATATATATATATATATATATATATATATATATATATATATATATATATATATATATATATATATATATATATATATTTATATGTGCAATTAATTAGTAAATTTGTGTGGCTTGCCCTTTCCACAATTGCCCTGGAGGATCCGCCTCCCTCCCGGTGTGAATGTGATGCAGCAGGGGTAACATTAACATTGATGGTGGAGTGCAGTACAGAGTAATCCAAGAAGAAGACATCAGCGTCCTTATAGTGCGGCGTATGGTTAACATAAGCTTTGGCGGAGTAACAACGGAGGCACAGAGCGTAAGAGCGGGCGGAGCATTTAGAGCAGCAGAAATATACGTCACAGATGAAGCAATTACACCAGCTGCAGAATGGCCTTCCACTCACAACAATGTAGTATATAGTCCTGGATTCCATGATACTCATACCCACATTTCTATCCTTCACTACCATTTTGAAAAGCTCCGGGAGGGCATATTCTGGATACCTCTTTTCTTTCATGGATTCCACGAAATCTTCCATGGCTACCCTGGTTTTTCCTTCCTGCTTCACCATACTCCAGAAGAACTCATCTGCGGAGTTCCTGATTTTCTTAGGGGCCGCATCGTAGTGAGCCCGTGCGACATTTGCCAACGCCTCTATACCTTTTTTATCTATCATAATCTTCCTCACCTTAGGAGAGGGGGGGAGGGCATGGGGTTAGCGTTAGTTTCTGTGATATGCGTGCATGCATGCTACTACTGAATTATATTATAGTGTGTAATGGTTAGAGTTGAAGGTAGTACATACGGAAAGGCCGGTTGAGTTGGATTGACTTGAGTCTCTTAAATTTGAAACTGGAATTATTGCCTTGGAATCACTTGGATCTGTTGAACCTGGAATATAATATTGCAACGTAATGAGTTAAAATGACTTGAGTCAATGTGGCATAATGAGTTAGAATGACTAATTACGTCTTTTAATTTAAATAATTAAGCTTGAAACATTGCGTCTTAAGTTGGAATGATTACTTGAGCCATGGTGTGTCGACTTTGAATGACGACCTGAGCCTTTTAAACTTGAGTCATGGTTTATTGGTTTGGAATGACTTGAGTCCGTTGAACCTGAAATATTGCAGCGTAATAAGTTAGAATGACTTGAGTCAATGTGGCATAATGAGTTAAAATGGCTAATTGCGTCTTTTAATTTAAATAAACTTGAAACATTGCGTCTTAAGTTGGAATGATTACTTGAGTCACGGTGCGTCGACTTGGAATGACCACCTGAGCCTTTTAAACTTGAGTCATGGCTTATTGGCTTAGAATGATGACTACTTGAAGCATCGCCTTTGGAGTTGGACTTTCGCTTGCCTTTTCCGTTGTTCTACATACGCATAATAGAAAAAAGTTAATTAATTTCAATTCCAATCCTAAAATTAAAAAGGGCATATATATATATACTACTTATGTATTGATATATATATATATATATATATATATATATATATATATATATATATATACTACTACTTATGTATTGTTTCTTTGTTTTACCAAGTTTTTCCCTCCACTTTCATGCCATAAACCCATGATAAAATAACACTAAGGGTCCATTTAGAAAGAAGAAGGAAAATGACTTCTTGGAAATGTTTTTCGAAAATTGATTCATTTTTCAGAAAATATTTTTTCTTTTTCAGTGTCTGGTTGCATTTTGGAAAATATAAGAATGGATGGAAACTGAGGAATCGAAGGCAGCGAAAGCAACTATGTTTTGAGTGTTGACGGAAACTTAAGCTAAAATTTGAGGTAAGTCATTTTCTGCAAAAATACCTACATTTTTCCCTAGTCAATGAAAAATATTTTCGTTGACTGGATTTTCCTACTGCATCCAAACACTGAAAACTTATAAAACATTTTTTTAAAAAATCATTTTCTGAATTTTCAAACAGACCCTAAACTGAAGGTAAGTGTAATATTAATCTTTAATTCACTGTTTAATATCAAAATACCTTTTCAATTACACAAGAGGGTTCGAAACGTTGATCGTTATGCATCATCATTACACTGTGGTTGTCGGCGAAGGTGTCATGATTATGTTGGAATGTTCTCCCATAAAAACACTCGACGCAGAGGTTGTAGTTATACCCCTTGAATAACTCACATTTGGTGCAACACAAGTAGAAACCAACCACAAGCTTCGCGCAAACATCGCACCTACGTATGCCTCTCTTCGTCTCTCGTACGTAGAATTCCTCCAGGGTTTCTCCGCCGTCCATAGCCCTGCGTGCCCGCTGCTTATACTCCTCAGAGCCTGTTTCATAGTAGTATTTTGCAGCTTTTCTCAAATCTTCCATATCTCTTAGCTTTAGAAAGAACAAAAAAAAAAAACAAAAACAAATGATCAAACATTCATCCGTTTCATAAAAGTAAAAGAAGATATAGACCCTGTTTGGTAAAATGGCTGTTAGCTGATTGTGTTAATTAGATGGTATAAATAGTTGATAATATTAGTTGATTGTAGAAAAGTGTTTGGTAAATTAGCTGTTAGTTGATAGCTGTTTGGTATAATTTCTTCCCTCAAAACGTTAATTGAAAAAGTTATTTGGAGTAACTTTTTGAATTTTAACCTTTTGAAGTTGCAAAAAGTTAATTTATCAAACATTTAATAGTGGTCAAATAAACCAAAATTGACCTATAGACCAATTTTTTACCAAATAGGGCCATAGTCGGATGGGAGGTGTTGTGGTCTTACCTCTTAGCAGGAGAGTGGTCGCCTGGCCGGGATGGGAGATTTTCTCGAAAGGCTTAATTAAGATGAGGTTGAGAGTTGATCACAATCTTGTTATGTAAAAACTATAGATGTGGTAACACACTAATAATAATTAATTATAAATAATATATTAAAAATATATATGATAAAGCGAGTTAGATAACAGGACGAGTACTACAATCTTAAAGTACGAAGTTATCAGTATTCAAGAAGTTTAATTTTAACTAACAATAAAAGTCAAAAACGAAAGAATTGATCTCGAAATAAAGAGCAGATCAGAGTTTAATCTTACCTGCTTGAAGATCAAAAGTTTTCGTGGGAATTGGGAGGGCATGCATAGGCGGATTTATATAGGGCTTGCTGACATAGAAAGTGGAGAAGGTGCTCTGCATCACGTGCGATAGCATCTTTCATCTACTGAAAGTTGTTGAATTTTTGGCATAAAATGGTATTTAATTGACTATTTTGTGGTATAAATATATTTGAGTTATTTTTTATTTTAGACGGATCAAATTGAATTCGAGTTCTTTGTAATGAGACGAAAAAATTGATATATTATATGTTTAAAATGAATAATGAATGAATGAGAAATTAATTATGAAAATAGACATATTTGAGTTGAAAGATGAAGGTGTAAGACTTGGAACAAGCATTTGTCCCACATTGATTTGGGAAGTGGATTTGCACCACTGTATATACAAAATCCTTTTAAAAAGATGTTGAAAACATTGGTGTTAGGTAAATTGTTTTAGATGTTGGATTTTGAACACTCAAAAACTTGTTGTTTTTCTCTCCTGCTCTCTCAAAATAATTTCTTACGAATTTCTGCCAACACTTCTATAAAATAGCGAAGTGCTCGCATGTTGTTCTAGTTCGTCGAGATTTCTGTTTGAGTACTAGCTTGTTGTTCTAGTTCAATTCATCGAGATTTCTGTTTGAGTGTTCAAACATTAAAGCTATGTTTGGCAAACCTAGCTGAAAAGCTATAAGCTAGGAGCTGAAAGCTGAAAAGTTATAAGCTCGGAGCTGAAAACTGAAGAGCTGTTAAGTTAGCTGTTATATATGATTGAAAGTGTTTGGTAAAATTAGCTTTTTGATAAGCTGATAAATGTATAAAAAAAAAAAAAAAAAAAACTAAAAAGGACACCTTCATAAAATTTAAATTAATTTGTTTACATATTAAAATTTAACATTTTGTCTTTAAAAAAAATTAACATTTTGAAATAAAACTATTTAGCATAATCATGATCTAGCAATATTATTGCAAATCTCATAATAATAATAATAATAATAATAATAATAATAATAATAATAATAATAATAATAATAATAATAATAATAATAATAATAATATTTGCGGTGAAAGTTGCGGATAAAGAAGAAGGGAAAAGGGTTTTAATTGAGAAGGGTAAATTATGTCATTCTTTTAAAATAATAAGGATAGAGATGGAAAAAAAGTTATGAAGCTAGGAGTTTATTTTGAAACGCTACTTAAGGTAGCGTTTCGAAATAAGCTTTTATTTTAAGCTAGGAGCTTATTTTGGGAACATTACCAAACAGAGCTTATAGCTTATTAGTAGCTTAAAATAAGCTATAAGCTCCTAAATAAGCTCTGTCAAACAGAGCCTAAGTAGTTATCCATTTTATCATGGGAGACTGACGCTACAACACTCTTAGCACCATCGGGAGTTAGCGAATCGATTTTAAGAAAATCGTGCGTTACACACGACCTGAATTTTCCTTTCTTTTCTGTTGAGTTTATAATCTCATATTTGAAAACTCTCATTTCGTTTTTATTTATTTTATATATAAAAAAATTCGTTATTTTGGTTTCATAGTAAGACTTGGTTGGGATTAATTTTCAAAAAATTAAGTCTCTTTGTTTATATATATATTTATATTTATTTGTTATATCAACTTATTAAAGCTCACCTCACCCTGTAAAATTCTCAACTTTTTTGTTTTTTCTTGAAACTTGGAATGACCGTATTGCCCCTGAATTTAAACAAATTAAAATGATTAAAAGATTTCGGTGACAATTGCCAGCAATTTGATCGGATGAACCAAAATTGATAAAAATAAAAAAATTTAATAGTTAAGATACTCAATTGTTAGTTTTTAAAGTCATGAATTGAAATTACCAGGACCCAATACTCATAGGATCAAAATTGTAATTAACTCTAAAAAAATCTGCACTTTACAAATTAAAGGAGAAGGTGGCATTAACTGCTGGGGATAATAAATGCTCTCCACCAACTCCGATCCATTCAATACCATTGAATGCCAACGGAAAGGGAAGAGGAATGAAAGAAAGTTGTCAAAAAACAAGAGGAAGAAAACTTGTAAACACGAAGAAGAGGGAGAATTAAAGAAATTTTTAGAAATAGAAATTAAAAGTCAAGGAAGGCAGCGTAACTTTCCAACCAGTCCCCGGCCACTTTCTTTTGTTTAGTGTTGCATCCTTTTCACAAATATATAATACTCTGCACATAAAATGTTCTCCACTATAATAAAGACAAAGTGTCAAATAGACCATCGAACTATTAATGTTTGTGCAATTGAGTCATCAAATAAAAAAATGTATAATTAAACCATTTGATGCTATAAATTTGTACAAATAACATTTTTAATAAGTTGTTTTTAGATTAAATAAGTAAGATAAATGCATAGCATGTCATCTTATGTGACGATTTTTAATATTTAAATCAATTCACAATAATGCAAGATTAGGCGCTATCATTTGTTTCCCCAGTATGAGAGCCGCCTTTGACTATTGGTCATCCTAGTACACTTTGTTTTCTACTTGAGTACGCGGTATTGATCTTAAAGGTTTTATAATATGACAAACATTTTGTGATTGAATGGTATAACTATAATTTTTTAAAATAGGAGGTTATAAATTTAAATTTTGGTTGAAAAAGTATGCATGAATATATATTATATTTTCTTGTGGGAAATCACATCTCATGTAAAAACTGTGAATAAGTTGTATACCTTTATTTAAGATGATAAGGGTTAAAAATGTAACATCATATTTGTAATTAAGATTGTGTATCTTGTTCTGTCTGATTGTACATGTTAGTTTCTAAACTTTTGGAAGCCAACTGGGGGTCCAACACAACCATAAAAGTTGATGAATCATCGAGAAATAGAATATAAAAATAAGTAGAAAAAGAAAAGATGCAATGATTTTTATGTGGAAACTTAAAGGTGAAAACCACGGACCTTTTTGGGCGATGTCAAGCTAAGACTTTTACTATTTTGTAGGTGTTTGTACATGTTATATGGCTATTTTGAACATGCATGTAGTATTGTTTTGAGATGAAGTTGCTCTCGTCAATCTAGAGTGATGGAGTATTCTTCTTGAGAGAATGAGGCCTTCCTTGAG